TTATATCTTGCACTCACAAATCATTATGGGGATATCCATTTACAATTATTAACGCATGTCTGCGATGTTATCGTCATGCGATGATTTGTAGATACTTTATTTTTTACCACGATATTTTCGACGACGACGTTTTTAAATTGCGAAGTTTTTGAATCGCTTTATTTTCGACGACGATGTTTTGTACCACGATGTTTTAGGACTGCGATGTTTTCTCTTTGCGGTGTTTTCTCCCACGATGTTTTGTAGCACGACATTTTCGCCTTGCGTTGTTTTCTCCGCGAGGTTTTCTTCCACGATGTTTTTGCCGCGACGTTTTCGGATGTAACCCTATTTATTACCTTAGAATTAAAAACAAATTAATTTACATATCTAAAAAAGTTTGCCCTGAATAAATTGTTGTTCGCAGCGTAGTTTACGACAAGGTTGAAACTGTGATTGCAACAGGGCACAAAAGATGCTCTAGGGCTGATATTTAGCGATATATCCAAAATTCTTTTCTGCACACCGCAATGTTGTTGACAACGATATAGCTTAGAGTTTCAAACGGTGATGCTACATTTCCTCCAAAAATTTGTAAAAACTGCAGTTCATGAATAAGATCTATACTATTTATATCGGTTTGTTTTTATCAGTTAATGTTTTTTGCAGTTTTTGACATAAGTTCAGCTGATCTTGTAAATATATTGCGAAGGAAAATACGCGATGCCGATGCGTATATAAGGGTAGATGCCGGCGCCGTAGACGCGTTTGACAAACTACTTAATACTAATTTTGTGTGTACTGTTGCAATAGTAGTAATTTGTGTACCATTTATCTTTTTCTGATTTTTTTGGGGGTGATTGCTTGTTGTTATCGTTATTCTACATAGAAAAAGGTAAGTGTAGTTACATATTATGTTAAATTTAGGTTAGCTTTTTAATTCAGAAAAGCGACATAATTACTCGATTTTTTTTACATGAACCATTTGTTTATAAAAGTAAAAATTATTATCTTTCGAGAAGAAAGGATTGACACATATGGAGTACTAGTGAATTTAAAATATACCTATCTGAGATTTAAAGTGACCACCAATCCGGCCTATTAACACTACGCCATGGTATACAGACGTCGGCTTATGCTCCCACAGGAAGAAACCAAGGAATGATATGAACATGCAGTTTTGAGGCTCCAGGCACCCACTGGAAACATCAAGCAGTTTAAAGGCTTACTGAATTCACCAACTAAACCGACAGGGGTGTTTCGCCCCGGAAAACCATCAATATAGCTCCACCACAACCAACGGAAGGGATAAACCAGTACCATATGGTCCCTGCCGTACCTGAAGCAGCCATCGCCAGCGATGACTCCACTCCTGTGGAGACTGATTTTAAACACCCGTGGCCGAGACTGTCTAGGTACAGATCTTAATCAGTAGCTTCCCAGGTTTTACCTGAGTCGACCCCCGTAAGAGCGTTCAAATAAGACAGGGAGCAGGAGACCACTGGGTGAGCATCTGTGCCGCCAGTGAAGGCTTTGAGCTCATTGCTTACTCAGTAGTAAATTTCATAATCTACACAATATATGAAATTTGGATGTATACATTAAATCATTATGCAAAAAATATATACATTAAATAAAGTTATGAGAAAAATTTTGATATATACACATAAAAGTTAATTAATTCTAATTTGAAAGTTCTGTAATAGCTGCGGAGATGAATTTAAAGTTCATAAGTCTTTATGAACAGTTCATAGGATTTGAGTTCATAAAGATATTAAGTACATAAGTTCAATTAGTACATTAGAATTAGAGTTCTTAGGAGTTTATAGAATTATTTAAAAGGATTAAATGTTCATAGGTTCCTTTTTAATGTCTTTGAGTATCAATAAGACAAGACAAAATCACGTTCAAATAAGATGTTGCACCAGGAGAAAGAGACTCTATTACCTGGCTGTCACGAAGACTGCCTCCCATAGAAAAGTCCCAAACCCTAGAGACGCTCCAAAGGAGTCGCACGGCGATCGGCGAGGCCGCTCCCCCCCCCTCACAGTCCAAAGCATGGAGGTAGGAAGTCCTTTCTTACCTCCATGGTCCAAAGCGATGGGAAGATTAGAAACTCACCTTCCATGACCAGAAGGGGAAGAGGAAAATCTATGTCGGAAAATCAGTGCGTCAAAGTTCAGACACGGAGAAACACTTCGCCCATGAGCAGAAACTAGGTGCTTCCAGGTGTCCACCTGGTGGCGTCGCGAGAAGGATATGGACAGCCCAGTATCAAGGTCCCAGACAACCGCTGGCAACCTCAAGCAAGAGGCCCGTCAACAGAGCGTTCAAATAAGACAAGAATTTTCCTGCTTAGACAGCAGTGAGACGAACTCTTGTTTTAATGATTTCCCAGTGCCTTTTTGACACAGCGCCGTCGTGCGCCGCACGACCCTGCACCTATTCTCGGCGCGGGCCTGATCACCCCACTTTGAAACTGTGTCTGGAACCGGCTAGTGCATTGATGATTATTAGAATAATTTTATTATTTTATTCATGTGTTCACTGTTTTGTTTTGCAATATAAATTTCGAAATTCTATAAGTACTGATTCATTTTGAGAGAGAAAACGTTTTTTCATATTATACACTAAATGGTAAATTCTTCACATATTAAATAGTTTTAAAAGATGAACTCTGCACTTAAGACCAACTCTTTTTTCCCATGAAAAATTTTCATAACTGTGTGAGTTTTATCGATTTAACACGCCACTGTGAACATATTTTAATTAATTCCTCCCTATGATATTATTAATTCATAAATTTGACGCTTAACATCTAGTGCAGAGGTTCTCAACCAGTGGTACGCGTACCACTGGTGGTATGCAAGTGAAAAATAGGTGGTATTCAAAGAAACAAACTATTTTTAACTATTAAATTCAAAAATCTCGTGAAGAAAAAGAACAATTGATAGAAATTTCCTGTGATTGAACTCTAACTGAAGATTGTACAAGTAACACACTTGTTAGCTTTTGACTAAACCCCCCTTCCCCCAAAAAGAAATTAGAGGAATTTCAAATAAAGCTGTTAAATTTTAATTGCCTTTTTGCACAACGTATTTGTGTGAACAAGTATTTTCTTCCACGCTTTATTTGAAAAAGAAATACAGAACAAAATTAAGATTGGATCTTTATTTACGGTTAAAGTTAAGTAAAATAAGCAGACGTAAAGAAATTGATCTCTCTTAAACAGGCCCAAAATTTGCAGTAAATTTTAGAATTAAAGTATTGAAATTAAATTTTAATAATTAAAATGCAAACCAATTTTTAATCTAATATTTTTTTATATGCGCACAGTTAATATAGCCAATAATTTGTGCAAATGACAAAATATTTTTTAAAATATTTATACTGACGCATTGAAAAATAATCATTGTAAAATGTAGTGGTGGTACTAAAGTGTTTCAATTTTTGTTTAGATGGTATGGGTTAGTCAAAAGGTTGAGAACCGCTGATCTAGTGTATTCGTACTGTCTCGACAATCTTTCTACATCAATTATTTCGTTAATGTTGCTTTTTCTGAGTAAGCTTATACTGCATGCAAAACGTTTCATGAAAGAACCTCACGTTACACTAATATGTCTGTTGCAATGTAGTGTGAAGAGCATAGTTAGGATGTCTACTAGCTACACATGAACACCTGTGAGTGTCGGCACGCCTAAAAAAGTACAATATATAATACTCTTTTTCTCTGAGCCGGCGAAAGACATTGATGATTGTAGCTGCAGATCATGAAAGAGGTTTGGGAAACTTTCAAAAATAAATACAATATTGCTAGATGTCAATGAAAATTGTCAAAACTACTGAAAGAACATTACGAGTCATCTCTTACCCGTATGCTTTTAAAAGAATCATTTCCGTTACATTTAAACAATAGTAGCACATGCAAAGAAATTCTTGGATAAATAAAATTAATTGCAGCCGTATCAGTAAACCTTCAATTCATGAAAGGTAAAATAAAAATTACCGACACATCTAAAAAAAAGTCCATAGACACGTGTGGGATAAATTTTTAAAACGTAAATGCAGTTAGTTCTTAATAATAGTATTGTTGCGTTTTTCTTTTCTGACACCAGTTGTTACATTATTTTCTTCCTTCACGTTCATACGGGGTTCGTAGATTTGGAGTGAATAACGACGACCCTTGATGAAGTATCGAAACACACTTTATTAGTCAGTATTGTCAGGACAGCTCCAAAACACGTTTTACAGTCGTCGATGAACTACTATAAACAAGCTGGAACAATCAGCGACACAGCTTTCAGGTTATCAGGCTATCACGGTGGAGACAGCTTCACTGCAAAGCACTAAAGTACAGCTCCCGACTCTGCTCGGTCGTTCTCGGAACTCCACGTACTCTCGAGACTCTCCACGCTACAACTTGCGATGCACTCGACAACACACGAGCACAGCTCCCGACTCTTCGGTTCAGTCGATACCGGAGCTCAACACGCTCTCTCGACGATGCACTAACTGCGATACACTAAGAGACTCCTTCGGTGCACTCGACGACCCAATCGGAACTCGTCGCCCGGCTGTCAACTCGATCGAGTCTGCACGGCTCGCTAGACGAGGCACACTCTCTGAGACACACTGACTGCGGACAAGCAGGGTTTATATAGCTTTCGGCTTGTGTTCGAGAACATTCCGGGCTAAACCGGTGAGAACTCGTTCCAGAAGGTTCTCCATCCGTCCATTGTATATCACCAATCCGCCAAATATCGCCAAATTGGCGATTTCTCGCCAAATATGGCAACCCTGCCTTCCTTTACCATTTTATGGCAACTCTAAAACTGCTTTGAGGGGAAGCTATCTTACCGCGCCTGTACTTTCGTAACAGTATATTACCTGGGAAAACACAGTCCTAACCGGACTTAAATTTTTCGTTCAAAAGCCTTCGTAAAAATTTTCCCGATATGAATTCGCGAAACTTAAAATGATGAAGGAAAAATAATTTATACGACACAAATTAAGAAAAGAGATAAAAATAAAGCACATTTTTATTTACTGAGACAAGTATAATACGTATAAAGTACAAATACAAAAACATATTTTCAACTTCTGCTTAATATTCTCTCAAATACTTACATTCGCTCGCTTTGTTCGTTAGATATGATAAAAGCCACAACTTTTTTAATTAATATAGTTACATAAAAACTAATTTTAGTTTAGGTGTATGGCATAATTATCTCCCTTATGTATCATTTGAGCTGTAAATATCAAACGCAAATTTAATTTTATTCAAAGAGTAGGATATTGCACCTTAAACATTGCTAGGGTTGAATAATTTCTGAACAAAATAGTAGAATTTTTAAACAATCATTCTCAAAATTCAATAAACACTTATTTGTTTACCAAATATTACAAAGGTTTTTCAGAAAACCTTAATAATCTGCAAAACTGTTATACATAATATTGGCTTTAATAATTGTGAGGCAACAATCTTCTCATTATTTTTTAACTAGTTGACTAATTCTTAAGGTTTATAAACTATCGTTATAAATCAGGGTGGGCCAATATAAAAACATATAATATGCCTTCAATACCGCTGCCACGCTCTTTGAGATTTGTGCAACCGTCTGTCTGCCTACAAGGAACTCTGTCTACCTATCTGAGCTGGCTCTAGAATTAATATGAACTCATAGTTAAAAATATGTTATTAAACCTATCTGAGATCTACAGTACACAGAATTGAAAAGCACATTGTCCTGCTGAAAGAGACAATATGCATTTGGAAACATTGTAGACATTAAAAAATATATGTGATCAGTAAGATTATTTAGTTAAGATATGATCCTGAAAGTTGTTCCTACATATATCATGAGACTTGCTTTTTGGTTTCAAATCACATTTTAAATTCATGAGGTGGTTATTCAAACACAGTCTTTCTTTCTGTTCATTGTCTGTCTGCCTATCCGGAGACTTGTTGTCGCCAAATAAAATATTTTAGAAAAATTGTCCTTTCCTTCAAAGCACATAGCCTCAGAAAAATCGTACCCATCTTGTCATTTTTATTATCAAAGAGAGCTACATTTTCTTAGGCCATCCTTCATATTTCTAATCTAAGAGGATTCAAAATAGCTAACACATTAGTTTTTTATTGAAAATTTATTATACATATTTATTAATTGATTTCTAAATTTTCTGGTAAAAAAGCTTTGAAATGTTTTAAAACATGTTTTGAGATCAAGAGATAAGTGTTAAGATAAAAAGTATTCATTTAGCATTTTTCATATCTGAATTCTTTATAGCAACGAAAAAACAATATTAGAGGGGCTAACCTTTATAAAAAAACAAATTAATTTTTTTAAAATCTTTTGAATCACTGTATTTGAAAAGTATGTTTTAAAAAAATTAGATTGTGTAGCTAAAAAATCAAATGATTTTAATAAACTCCATACATTAAACAAAGTGGGAATATTTAATTTAGAATTGCGAATTTAGTGTAGCCAGAAGATTTTTTTTAAAATTTAATTTTGAAGTATTGTGTTTGTTTTTAAAAGTTTTACTGTTTAATATTATTATTATATATATATATGTTTAATATTATATTTATATATATATTTGCAGAAGATTAAGCTGTTGTTGATGGGAGAATGTTGGATTTCAGATGACGTGAAGTTTATAATTTATCAATGATTTCATTTAATTTTATTTCGTTAATTATTATTTTTTTTAAAGTTTTGTTTCTTGCATGTGGTAATCGAATGATGTGGAATATTTAAAGTTTAGAACGAAAATTGTTTAGTGTGTTGAATTCCATGACGTTGTTTTATCATTTAATCAATTTCATTTACTATTCTGTTTGCACATAATAATCGCTGTTTACCACTGTAAACAAAAATTTGTTATTCTGTTCAAGTTTAAAACTCGCTTCGCAGTGCTCTGATCTGATAAGTGTATATATTTATTTACTCAATAATTATTTACAAGAATTGTTCATTCTACTATTTAATGATGAATAACATAGGACTATGTTTTTACTTGCAAAGCTGTTGGACTTTGTTTTACTCATCTAGTATTTTATCATCTCATTTTACTATTCTGTTTACATAAAATTACGGCGTTTCACTACTGAAAAACTTAAAAGTTACTATACTGTTAACGTTTGAAAATCAAATCTTAGTGCTTCCATTGCCGCCAAAAAAGTCGCCAAATTTTGAAGGACAAAATAGTTTGGCGCCAACGTACCCCGCGTATAGAATATTAGTTGATATTTCTTTTGAATGAATTCTTATAAATCTACTATGTTAAGTCCAAATTGTTATGTTGAATCAATATTTTACCTAAACATTATTGCTTAATACAAAATTATTTTCCTTTACTTTGAAGCCATATATTCCGTAATAGGTGAAAAAATTCATAATAAAACTGTCCAGGAAACAAACATTAGACGATTTTCTTGTTTACTTAAAATTATTTTCAAGAATAAACGGTTCTGGCAATATTCTTCGGTACAATAACAATTTACTAACAGTAACAACTAGTCGCAGTTCTTTAACATGCAAGAAAAAACAGATGAAGAAGAATCTCGAAGTTGGATATTATTATGATAGTAACCGGAAAAGACTTTGTTTTACATCTATTCCAGTCGCCCCCCTTTTTTTTATAGAAATAGCGATTTTTTTCGTTTGTTTGAGTTTCTTTTTCAAATGAAATGCAAACAATAATGCAGAATAGCTCATAGGCATTTATAAACGTCATGCTTTAGAACCACAAAACAACTTATTTGTCATGTTTGGGCATTACTAAATAAAATATACCCTAATGAAGAAGAGTTGTTTGCAAGAAAATATTCAAAATATTAATAAAAAATTGTAACTGCTTGTTATTGCTCTTGCAAATTATCTTCTCTACTTGGAAAAACCGCTGGTCTTGGAAGAAGCTAGTAGAATCTAGCTATAAGAGAGTTAGTTAACTTGAAGGAGATGAAATTAAGAGTTCTAATGACCAGCTTCTGTTGTCGATCCATCAATGATGAATAAAATGAAGGCGGAATTAAGCTGTCACAAAATTTACTATCTTATGCGTTCGAGTAGATACCTGCTGGAAAAAAAAAGTCATGTGATTAAATAGCAGAATAAACAAATGCATTCAAAATAATTAGCATATAATTCATTATCTATAGACCATCGCAGTATAGTATAGTATTGCAGAAATCTCAAACTGAAGACCTGTTGGATGGCAAGTGAACCCATAAGCAGCACATGAAGACATCTCAGTTATGTATTTTTTGAAAATCTGGTGCTGATTAATATGTAATTGCCGCATTAATTAATGTATTTGCCGCATTTGATTAATATGTATTAATATGCATTTGTATTATGCATTAATAAGTATTTCTTAAAATATTGTGCTGATTGATATGTATTTTCTTGCAAATGTGATATTGATTAATATGTATTTGTTGCAAATTTGGTGCTAATTAATATGTATTTGTTGCAACTATTGTGTTCATTATGGTACTTTTGTAAATATAATTTCAATATCTTAGATATTTGAAATCCGACTTTTGATTATTTTCATTTCCATTAAAAATGAACATAAATAATGCACCAGAAAATCTGTAAATTAATTAACAACGCGATATAAATCTTCAAAGATTTGAAGACACAGATTTCATTAAATTTTAGGTGTCCGCCGAAAACATTGCGGCAAAAACATCGCAGAGAAAACAACGCAAGGCGAAAACGTCGTGGTACAAAGCATCGCGGGAGAAAATAAAGCAAAAAGAAAAGCGGTTCAAAAACTTCGCAGTTTAAAAACATCATCGTCGAAAATATCGTGGTAAAAAATAAAGTACCTACAAATCATCGTACGACGATAACATGGCAGACATGCGTTTTTAAGATATGCTTTAATAATTGTAAAAAGATACTCACATAATGATTTGTGTGCGCAAGATGGAAAGAAGGATCATTTTTACTTTCATATTTTTTATTAGCCAACAAATATTTGCTGAAAATGTTGTATGGAAAAGTAGGGATAGAAAATTAATGCAACTTATAGCACTTAATAGAATTTTAAACTGACATAGTTAACTAGCAAAGGCCATTAATAAATTATTTTTTTTACAAAGTTTTACTGATAAATGAAAAGTATAATCTGAAAAAGAAAGATAAGTAACTGCATGACTTTAGCTGTAAAAAAATTGATGAGCTAATTATGAGCTTATTTTCTTCACTTTTGCTAATGTGATACTCTTGTAGTGAAAATTATTTCTTGTTTTGTTTAAATTTCTTTTTCTGTTTTTTTTCTTTAAATTTATTAGTTAATAAAAATATGAAAAAAAAATACCCTTACTTCCATCTTGCGCTCACAAATCATTATGCTAATATCCATTTATAACTATTCAAGCCTCAAAAATGCATGTCTGCGATGTTATCGTCATGTGATGATTTGTAGGTACTTTATTTTTTACCACGATATTTTCGACGACGATGTTTTTAAACTGCGAAGTTTTTGAACCGTTTTATTTTCGACGACGATATTTTAGAACTGCTATGTTTTCTCTTCGCTTTATTTTCTCCCGCGATGTTTTGTACCACGACGTTTTCGCCTTGCGTTGTCTTCGCGACGTTTCCGTCCGCGATGCTTTTACCGCGATGTTTTCGGCTGTAACCAAATTTTATTCGCACTTCTCAAAAGTCAAAACGTAAATAAGCTCAGTTACGAATTTTTGCACTAAGAATAGTTGCTTGGTTTAAATTATATATATATATTTTCATCATATATATACTTTTCCACGGATGAAAATTTATAGAAGAAAGGAACTCGACTGACCGACGAACATCCACAATCAGTGATAAATAAAATTTCCAGTAATTTCTCTCCAAGGCTAAAACCTTTATCGTAATTTAAACGCCTTCAAAAATCATGCTGTAGTATCAAATAACGTTTATAATTTTTTACAAACAAACATACGAATTTTTATCTTTGCGTCGAAGAAAAAAATAATAAATAAAAGAAAGAGACTAAATTAGTACTATTTATTCTCAAGCTTTATCTCACTTGGCAAATGTTCTGTGAAAGTTTAGGAAGTTTGCATGATTTTCTATTTTTAGTTTAAATCAAAGTAAATAATTTAATGATTAATTAAGCATATTATAATTATTTGAAAGAAATGTTAGCTTAATAATTTAATATTTAACTGTCAGTATATTTGAATTACAAAGTATAACTAAAAAAGTGTCTCACAGGTACCAAACTTTAAGTATCAGATAGAAAATAAACATAAATTTAACTTTTTTTCTTTGCGATAATATTATTATTATTACCGTATTTATGCGAATCTAATGCGCCATCGAATCTAATGCGCATCCCCATTTTAAAACTTAAATAATAAAAAAATTGTTTGTCGGCGAATGTAATGCGCATCAATGATATGAGGAATTTATTGAATCTTATTTTATACAACAATGGATTTGTATATAAACTATCAATTAATGGTATGATAATTTTATTTAAATTTAGATACCATACTTTATACAACAATGGATTTATACATAAAGTATCAGAACATAGAATTAACCTATTAGTGGGCAATTGTTATGTGAAACAATCATTGTTAATTACCACTACCGTATATACGGTACCTATCGTAAAATATGAACATGAAATAAATCGTAACATTTCTATCTAGCTAACAGTTTCTACAATTAGTGATTAATACGTCTTTATTCACTGTTTTCATCACTGGAATCCTCGCAGCTCTTTTCGTCAGACGCGGATTCATTTCTTTCCTCATCATCATCATCGTCATCCTCGGCGTTCTAGAGCACGTCATCTTCACTGCCATTCAATGAATTTGAAATGCAGCATTTCTTGAAAGATTTCACAATCTTTGGTGCTTCGATGCTTTCCCGGACAGCAGAAACTCAGTGTGAAACAATGTGCGGTGCAGCACGCTTAATTTTTCCTGTCGGGGTCAATTCACGGTTTGGCTCCCAAAAGCATTTTTCGTACTCCGCCTGAACGTACCCCTTAAAAGGTTTATTTATACTAACGTACAGGGGTTGTAACATAGACGTCATCCCTCCAGGAATTATAACAAGATCACTGCCTAGGCTGTGCATCTTCTTTTTTTACGTCGTCGGGGAGATGACCACAAAATGCGTCCAGACAAAGCATTGATGGTGGATTAGAGAGCCCACCGGGACGGCGTTTCCATACATTTCGGAGCCAATCAAGCATTAATGATTCCGTCATCCACCCCTTCTCTTAGTTTCGAATCATCTGGGAACAGCTTTTGATTCTTATGGGTTTTAGGGCATGTTTTCCATTTGAAGATTAAGAAAGGGCACCCGTCTGCTGTTATTGCTAGCATCACTGTTACGCGTTGTTTTTTTCACATCCCGAAGTTTTGATGATAACTTCCTCTAGTCCCCTTCTCCGTAATGGCGTAGTTACGAAGGCATATCAAACGAAATTGGCATCTCGTCAGCAGTTGCCAATTTGCCCCATTGAAAAATCCTTTTCCTTCCGAAGTGAGATGACATACCGCTGAAATGTTAGTAGTTTTTCCCTCAAAATCTGCAGGACAGCTTTTGCCATATTGTTGTACGACATCTTAGAGATAAGCCCATCCACTTCATAAATCCGATCCACGGCTAGCCTTAAACTCTTGTTTCGGTAATTTCCAAGAACTTCAGTCTCCTCTTTTACTTTATTTCTTATGGTGTCACTAGTCACAGGTTGTCCATTCTTCCTCCTTTCACGTACAAATTCCAAACTTTTTTTCAATTTAGGGTGTCTTCCTTTGCCAAGGCCAGTGAATTTCTTTCTACTAGCTTTAGTTGCAACAGTGCCAATTTCTGTTGCCGCCACAAGCGAACATTGCTCTCAGCTACGTTGAACTCTCTCCCTGCCTTTTATTTGCCATTTTTTTAAGCACAAGAATTACTTTATGTTTGAAAGTAGCGTCATATGACATTCTTCTCTGTTTGCCCTCCATTTCGTGACTACGTACTCTGCAGTTTCTATCCTCTATGCAATAATGTGTCAACGATAAATGTAACGGTAAATGTAGTCGAGAAATACAGTAATTCGTTGTTACGATTTAAATTTGGTTGACGCCATCAGCGAACTGCTGACGTCATCGGCGAACTCTGCACTCGAATCTAATGCGCACCCCAATTTTGAATACTACATTTGGCCAAAACCGATGCGCATTAGATTTGCGTAAATACGGTATTATTATTATTATCAACAGTGGTAATATTAATCCCGGAACTAACTTTTTGTCCTAATCACTTTTCAAATTATTGCCACCAAACGTTACTGCTACGTTTTACGTTAAAAAATGAAGTGAGATAGAATATGTATGTTATGCATCCATTTATGTTCCTCGCCCTGTGGAAAAACCACAGTACCTGGAACCATCAAATTTTGAATTCACGTAGTCTTCACTGGGATATGGACACCTTCAAGCCGGAATTTTTAATTTCGAATTTGTTTTTTGTTTACAGTGCTCGCCGCTTATTAAACTCATTAGTTAATAATCTCAGCCGCTTATTAAGTTCAAAGTTTCAGGAATTAAAACGAATATATACTAATCAATAGAAAAAGCCGTTGTTTATTAAAGCTCTTCTCAGCCGCTTGTAAAACTCAAACTGTCAAAAGCCTGATTAGTCTTTTTCGGAATAAACCGTTTGTGACTGATAAAAGCTGTTTGTAGTTCATTCGTTTAGCTTTCAGTTATGTAGTGCTTCAATAAAACTGGTTTATCAGAAATTGGTGATTTGCAAATCTCTTTGTCCGATCTAGAGCTGAGACCGACAGGATACCTTATAATTAACAAGAGCAGTACTCTAGAGACATTGGAAACAAACTCTTTGATTATAAATGAATGTTTCCAGGACTAAAAAATGAGTAGTGCTTAAGTGAATACTGGTTCCCTTTCTCGAACACCAGCTAATAGAAGATGGACGTGCATGCATACATTAAGTTTGTACGGTGTTCCCATAAAACATCATGGAATGCTTGCTTGCATTATTACACATGATCAGTCTTTGATTCGAAAAGATGAGTGGTTGTTATAGATTAAAGAAAAAAGAAAATTATTGATTATGCCTGTAATAACTATGAAGTGACAGATCGACTTGACAGACAAAGGCGCAATCTTTCTGCTGGCAAGAAACGGGAATTTTGGATTTATGAAACATATTTTATTTGCTGTGTCCGTGACTTGTGATATGTCGAAAATGCCTAAATGAAAAATTGAAAGAAAAGGCTAAATATCTGAAAGAATACTACCCACACAAAATTTCCAACACAAATGGAACTGTAAAAGATGCCATCAGTGAGGGTACCACACATTCCACATACAATATTTTGTACAACTAACAGCATCTTAATCACACAGCTCAATATTTGTCTTCATGCTTGCTAGCCTCCGTTGGCGATGTACTGCATTAAGCAACTGCATTGTAAGAGAAAAACGTTTTAATCAAACCTGATGACACACTGAAATCATCTAGTTAATTTAGTTTCAAATTTATTTCCTTGTCAACCGTATTTAATAATTATTTTATAATCACAGTGAGCTAGCAAAATAAATATAATTTGTGAAACATTAAATAAGTCAGATAAAGTGTGATATTGCGCGATAAATAATATAATATAAAATGGAAGCATTACTCGTACTTTTAAAAACAAAAGTAATTCATTTATTATGCTTTATTCTTCTAAATTAGAAACTAAGTATATTCTAAAATAGAGGTTTCTAAACCATGCGCAATAGCGAAAGAGTAAATTTTAGCATTCCTGTTTTTCGTGTTAGATTTGATTAAAAGGGAGGATTATTTCCACTTACCACGTAAAAGATTCATATAAAAAATTAATAATTAAGGAAATAAATACAGATTTTCAGGAGAGATAGATTAGGCATAGACCATGAAAATTCACATAACAGTGTATGCTCGGCAATGCGTTCAGTGTGCATTGCCGAGTGCATGCTCTGCAATAACCGTGCATGCTCGGCAATAACAGTGCATGTTCGGCAATAACAGTGCATGTTCCGCAATAACAGTGCATGCTCGGCAATGCGTTCCTGGCACGGTAGTGACGACACTAAACACAAGAAAGGAAAGACACAAACAGGGTGAGGAAACATGTTTATTATACTTAGCATAACTAAAGTGTTGAGACGACTTTGGGTGGTGTACGAAGTAGATGGCGCTATCCTCATCTATGGCAACCTAGCTCATCTTTCTTCAGCAGGTATTAGCACAGCTATTTCACGACGCCCACGTACCCGCTGCGATGCGTTTTACCATATGGTTTTAGCATGATGGGGGGCCTCTCCTATTACAACCTTGCTGTACGTCCCCAGCTGAATGCAACGTATCTTCAGCATTGGATCACCAGGGGGGACCGGAGACCACTGGGTGAGCAGCTGTGCCGCCATGAAGCAGGGGTGGACAGGTGCATTGGCCAGCAAGATTGCCAGACGTCACTTGCATTGACTACTTCCCCGGTTACATCCGAAAACGTCGCGGAGAAAACCACGCAAGGCGAAAAAGTCGTGGTACGAAACATCGTGGGAGAAAATAAAGCAAAGAGAAAACATCGCAGTTCTGAAACATCGTGGTACAAAATATCGTTGTCGAAAATGAAGCGGTCAAAATTTCGCAGTTTAAAACATCGTCGTCGAAAATATCGTGGTAAAAAATAAGTACCTAAAAACATCGTAAGGGATAACATCGCAGACGTGGTTTTTCATGATCCAATATTGTAAATGATATTCGCATAATGATTTGTGAGCGAAAGAGAAAGAAGGATATTTTAACTTCATGTTATTATTAACTAAGTAATTAAAAAGAAACAGAACAATAATTTAAACAAAACAGGAATAATTTTCGTTATAATATCGATTAACAAGAGAAGAAAATACTTAATTAGCATTTTTATGATAGGTACTACTTTCCTTTCTATTTTTTTTAGCTTTTTTTTCATAAAAATTACCGGTAAACCTTTATATAAAAAATGATTTATTATGACTTTGTAGTTAACTATGTCAGTTTAAATTCTATTAGTTTCATTATTTTCTGGCTCAAGTTGATTTACTTTTCAGCACTGTTATGATTTAAAAAATGAAGTAAAATATCCTCTTCCACTTCGCTCACAATATTCGAGTACCGTTTCGATTATTAAACTTGAAAAAAAAACGGCTGTATACGCTGTTACGTCATGCATGATTTGTAGTGTTTATTTTTTACCCACGATATTTTCGACGCGATTTTTTAAACTGCGAAGTATTGAACCGCTTATTCGCGGGACGATGTTTGTATAGATTTTTAGAACGTGAGTTTTCTTTTTTTATTTTCTCCCACGATGTTTTGTACCACGACGTTTTCGCCTTGAGTTGTTTTCTCCGCGACGTTTTCGGCGGACACCACTTCTTCTGGAAGTACGTCAAGACACTGGTGTACGAAACCCCCGTTAACAGTGCTGAGGAACTTGTAGGCATTGTGGTAGCGGTTGGGGAAGTCAGGAACACTCCTGGTATTTTTCAGAATATCAGATACCTATGCGCCGGAAATGTGAGACCTGCATCACTTTCGCGGTTGTAATTTCGAATATCTTCTCTGATGACGATTTTATCTATTTTTGGTTCCTATTTCTTGATTTCTGCTGTATTAAGCATAATAAAAAATGTTTCTCAACCCTGTTCCTGTCCTTCCTTTCATGTATTTTGTGTTCTCACTTCCGCACCAGGAAAACGTTTCCGACTATGCAATGTTGTGCGATTTTTTATCATCTAGGTTTGATGGGGACAGTGGACGATCAAATATTGTTTTCAATTATTGTCATAGAGTTATGAAACTTTGTATGCATGTATATTTTACTATAATTATATCAAATATCTTTGAAAAAAATGTCTAGATCATTGCAATTTAATTATTTTCAAATTTCTTTTGAATTTTTAAAATTTTTTCAAAATGCTCCACGCGACTTAATTTTTTCTGTTTCTTGTTATTTTTGCTTTATTTTTATTGAAAATGCATTGCAAACGTAACTTAGTATCAATTATTGAATTGCAGAAAACGTTAGTTTTTAATTAATATTTCTTTCACGTATACCTGAATTTGGACAAAATTTCCCACTTTAATTGGACTTTTATCCCCTTAATGAATTCGCATTCAAAAATGCATATTAAGTTTTGATACATGTATAAATGGGAAACTAAATTACAAATTTCAGTCATTTTGAACATAAAATAAAGCGCATGGAGCATTTTGAAGATGTAATAATCGCGAATATTTCATTATGAGAAAAATACATTTTAAGAATATTTTTACGCTTACCTATAATATTTACTTCTCAGTATGTCCTAATATATGATTTTATTCAATATAAAATATTTTAACATTGTTTTACTTAGGCATAAATAATGTTTCTACTAATAAAATCGTGGAATGGTAAGAAATAATATTATTTTAGAAATTTTCTCGAGCACTTTCAGTAAATTCAACCAAATACTTTTTCTTTAAACTAAGAATTACTTTAAAAAGTCCTGCACCATATGTTTCCCCTTCCTTATTTACATTTTCATTATGTTTACCTACCTTACATAGTTTTTTTGGTAATTCTTTTCTTGTATCCAGTCGAACCCCTCTTTTTACCTTGATGTTTACGACGTTTATCTTGCCTCTGTCCAATAGATATTGAACATGAATTTATATCTTTCTGTTCCATACCTAAAGTATTTAAACGCTTAAAATTGAAGTCACTAATTGCTGTGATAACAACTATTTCGAGTCTGTTTTCAATACAATTGTTTCCTTCGGGCAGTCTTCCAAATGGCGCTATGTGAACTCTCGTTAATGTTTTGTATTTTTCCAGAGATGGATCATGCTAAAAGCTGATTACTGGCTAGTCATTAATACATCGGCAGTATTTTGGATAAAACATTTACTGTTGATCTGTTTTTCATCATTCAATGAGATTTAGGTTTCATATTTTTAGCAATGCTACACTTAAAAAAAATATGATATGACATCTGTTGGGTATTTATGTCTGGGTAACTCATCCGTGAAACAAACTTGCATATATTGCAGTCTTCATAATCTTACACATTTATATCTTACTAAAAGTAAAAAATATTGTCGCGGAAATTAAAATAATGTTTTTCAAATGTTTGTTTACCTTTTTATTGACATTTAAATGTCACATAAAAAGGTAAACAAGCGTATGCAAACGCTTATAACATCTTTAAAAATAATTTTACATACAAGCGGTTTTTTGTGGACGATAGAGTTAAAACCGAAGAATATTACCATATGAAATTATTATTTCCCAATTTTTTGTCGATTTTTTCTAAAATCATCGTCCACTGTCTCCTTATCTCTTCTGAATTTTGTAACCGCTACGCTGAAAATAACTGAAATCATAAGTCAAAAGTTATAGCGCTGGGAAAAGATGTTATGAAAGCTGTTTAAAAGGATACATTTGATATTTTAATATTGAAATTTTAAGTATGCTGTTTTCTGTTGAAAGAATTTGCGTTTATGTGAATTCGCAAGCGAAGAGTTATAGATGTCTTACTTTCGTACACATCCTCCTGTGGTTGAATCATACCCTGAATGAGTTGCTGGATGCAGGAATGTATGAATATATACTGGTCCTGTAACATGCAAATATTTTTAGCATATTATTTTATGAATACCTTTTAAATATATAAAAATACATTATAGAATTACTCTAATTATTTTAAGAAGATTTACACACACATTCACATGTTTATTCCCTTTCACTGAAAGCAAAGAAAAAATGTTGAGATGTTATACATTATTATATGAATTCCGGATAAGCTTATTTTTTCGCATTTGTCATTATGATACATACCTAATGCGTATCAAAGCTTCAGAGCTAAAAGTCATCAAAAAGAAAAAGAAATCGAAACGCTTTGTTATTATTTAACTTGCTATATACATTTCCTTACTTTTCTTGGCATATTAAACGAGCCTTTGGTTGCCTTCGCAGAAATAAGTTGTTGGGATAATTCTAAGATAACTCTTACATTTCTGATATGCTTTCAAAATGATGGCCTTTTACAGAGAATTTTTCATTTTAAAGTGTGGAAAATAGTGTTGTATGTGTGTAGCAAAAGGAAGAATTTGAAACAACTATATTTTTCTCTGCAATATATTAGTTGATAGAAGTTGCTTTCGCGAAGAAAACTCTAATTCTTTTTGTTGCTCAGTCTTTGAATTTATAAGAATGGATACGGACCACATAATACCGAACACGAGAATTCAGTTTATTCTTTCAACAAAGAGAAGATATTTTAACCCGCGGGAAGGCGCGTGATGTGTATCATACCCCAACCCTACATAAAAGTGGAATATTCCTAACTTGTGAAACTGAAATTCTGTGCTGCTTTCAGTAGCTGAGTTTCTAGTTGTGGTTGACTTTCAGAACCGCTTTTTCTTTGCCTGTGTGTTTCAGAAAAAGATTTATCGGTATTTTGTTGGAACTGGGGTATGACACACCCCACGCGCCTGTCCGTGTAAGTGTTTTTCTGACTGAATATTTAGTTCAGAAATTTATTTCTAGAGTGTAACAGTAAATATTTCTACTCGCAAGTGATTTTAAAGTACTTGACATTAAATTCTTAAAATTTTCTAACTGCATTATGGTAAAAAGAATGAGTCCCTATGAACTGGAGATGCAACGCATGTGAGATTTATTAGAAATATTTGAAAGCGATGAAGATTGCATTTCGGAAACTGAAGATGAAACTAAGAATATTTTCTACAATGTTTTGGTTTCGAAAAAGATAAAACATTAATTCCTGATGTTCCTAAAAAAGGAAAAACTGTTCTTATGCTTTATATAACATCATATAACATATAACATTATAAATGATCATACTATAGATGATACTATTGGAGAAAATAAAACGTCAGGAATTATATGTTTTAATAATATGACTAAAGGAGCAGTGGATATGGGGGATGAAATGTCAGCCAATTATTCAATTGCCAGAATAACAAGGAGGTGGCCAATGGTAATTTTCTTTCCTGCACTGAATGTTGCTGTAATAAATGCTTGAATTATATTACATTCAACTGCTAATCCACCAACCAGAAACAGAAGTCTGTTTTTGAAGGACTTAGCATTACAATTAATGAAAAAAAGTATTGAACAAAGATCAGAGATTAATACTTTTCCAAGAAATTGACGTACTGCATGCAAAACAAAAGCAGAAGTTTCGACGAAGAATTAAAACGAATACATGAAATTCGAAAAAAACAACTAAGTATGAAAGATGTGTTAAATTTTTTGCCCTCGCGCCAAGGACAGAAGAACGTGAATGCAATGTTTAAAATGTGAAAACATTCTGTGCCAAGAACACATGAATGTATTTCGTTCAAAGTGTGAAGAAATAAAAAAAGCATGGTGTATTAGAGATGCAATGAAACTTAGAGGCATGATGTTTATTATTTTCATTTATCTTAATTTTAACTCTAAGATTATTTCGGAAATTAATTTTTTGAAACCCAATTATTATTCACTTATTTATAATACACGAGAACAAAAAAAAAAAGTTTTAAAACTAAATAATACTATTTTTATTGTATTTTAAATATTGGGGTATGTGATACCCCACGCGCCCACTCTAGTAACTTTTCTTGGTGCGCCTTCCGCCGGGTTAAAGGAAAAGAATGAAGGGTTTTTTAGTAAATTTGTAGAGTGATTAGGTTATATCGATGCAGGAACGGGAAAGATGTGCAACGACATCGCCGGAATTTGAACTCTGGAGCTCCCGAATACGTGTCGAGAGTGCTTCCAGTTAAACCACAAAACCATGCGGAGATCAGAGAGAAAACATCTTATAAATTATTTTTACCAGTGTTCTTTAGTAGTTATTAGTTTGTTAATAATTATTAAATATTGTTCAGAAGTTTGGCTCGTTTGAATAAATATTTTTATTGCCATACATTATAGTATAAGATATTTTCCCCCTCCTTTCTGCATGCCTTCGTGGTATAACTGTCAGCACGCTCGACCCGTCCAAGTTCGAGTCCCAGGGAGGGAATTGCGGATTTCTTCAGTTTCTTGACATATAAAAGATGACTTCAATGACTCTACAGTGGGGTCCGAATTAATAGGCAGTGGAAGATGATTCTTCACCACCAGGATTTGGTGATTGGGTCCCCTAAACCTAAACCTCAGTTGCATCCCTATTTTCTCTCTCCTTTCTACATGCCTTCGTGGTGCAACGGTTAGCACACTTGTCGCGTATTCGAGAGGTCCAGGTTCGAATCCCGGCGGGGCACTGCACATTATTCAAGTTTCCTGCTTTCAAAAATCCTAATGTCTCTATAATAGGATTATTAAATTGGTGTCTTCCTTTTTCCGCGGTTGTCAGAAACGTTCTTGTTTCCGCGAAATCATCAATCTTCATTAAACCCCTTCCCAAAGGGGTTACATAGTGGGCGCCGAGTGAGCCTTGGCCTCTACGGAAAAGGCAAAAAATTTTTAGATTTAAAAATAACTTTTAAAAGAAATAATTAAAAAATATTTACGATCTCAGATCTTTGTATGAATGAAGCTGATACTATACTTAAAACGACAGAAACTGAGTTCCTCAAATTCCTCGATGATTTTGGCAATGAACTAAAATATTGTTTCCTAAAGTAAAAAACAATATTCTTCCAAAATTCTGCATAAAGGTGAGTTATAATAAATCGTTCAGAATAAATATCCGTTATAAACCGACGTTCCTTCTTCTAAAACGACGACTTGATTAAAAAGCTGGAAAAAGGCAATCTTTGGTCTTGATTGCGCTTTTCCAGCTTTTAATTCTTTCAGTTATGCAAATCCAATGAAGTATATTTTCCTTATTTTTATTCCGAATTCGATACTGGTAACCTTTATGAAGAGTTAAAGGTTGCAGCAGAATTACAAGTAGAATGAAGCTAAGGATTTCGAGAGGGGCCTAAACTCAGATACATCTTCAGTCTATAAACAAAGGTATCTTTAGATTGCAGTCAAAATGCTTTGAACAATATGAAAGATAGAAACGACCCGAAATGCGAAATCATTATTTGATATGTAGATATATACATTGCTTGACCTTGACTAGCCTATTTGATAAATTAAAGACAAAAAAAAAAAAAAAAAAAAAAATAGCACAATAAACAAGTTTTCCAGTAAAAAAAGGGCCATCAAATGTTGCTGCATAAAATGCAACATAGTTTCATTTCAACAGTTGCATTTAAATGTAGAAATGAATATTACCTCTGTTTGTACCATATTTGTTCGGTATTTTCTCATTTCGAGGATTGTTCCGTAGACATCTATGTCCTGGCTGTGCTGCAGATGCTGTGCGATGCGATCAACAGCAATGTACGTCCCTGTGCGGCCTACACCGGCACTGACAATGAAAGCAAAAGGAATGAACTTTAATAAATTATCAGTAATAGTGTAGTATATTGAATTAAAAACTGCAGAATAGTGAACCTAAAATTTAATTTAAGGAAAAAAAGTACAGTGGAAATTTATTCGTTTCCTTGTTATCATCAGCATTTACTAAAAGATGTAATTTTCCACTATCATTATTCACTGTTAATGAAAATGGATTTATTTTTGGTTTTGGCAGCTCTTCATCAAAATTACAAATCATCAGCAGTTTTAATCAACTGGCCAATGGTATATATCTTTATATATATAAGCGGCTTAAGTGCTTGTCGCCGATAGTTTATTGTTGCCACTCGAAAAAATGAGCGCGGAAATTAACGTTTCCGCAGTTTTTAATTAATATCTCGGCCGATTAAAGTCGTTCGAAGATGAAAACGGTATCGATGGATTCGGAGAATTTTTTGGAATCCGAGGATACGCGTCTGGAATTTCAACTCGGTGCCGTTCCGTAGATATTCGAAAAAAAAGAATTTGGCACGTAGCCAAATACCTCTAATAGGGAAAACCCAAGAAAGAAAGTGGAAAATGCAGGGAAAACGTGGGAAAAAATTAGTTTTTAATTAATATCTCGGGCTAATTAAAGTCCCACGAAGAAGCGAATGGTCAAAATGGCGTGCTACGGACTTGCGGAATCCAACAGTGTGCTTCGCTAAGCCAGGGAGCCAGCCATTTCGGAGGAGATAGTGTTACCTCACCCCATATATATATGCGGCTTAAGTGTCTGTTTGTCGCCGACAGTTTATTGGCTGCTTGCGTAACTGTACTAACCAATGGGGTGAAGTTGCCACGGTTGTATGGTCCTCTGCAAGGCGATCTTAAAAATGATGGAAAGGTCTACACAAGAAATGTTGTGTACAAAGAGGTCTTTGACATGTGAATTAGCATTTTATTATTTAAATCACCTTTATTGATTGAGCTAGCGGTGGCTCTTAAGATATGTACCGCCAGTGGTTTCCTTCATTGCATTCTACTTTAAGCAATTAAGCAAGTAGAAGGGCAAAACCTCGTGGGGCAGTAAGCAAAGGGGTGTCCTCGTCCGCCTTGCCGAGGGTAATTAAGTTTGAATTAGCAGATACCTTTGCACAAATCCTTTTAATTACAATTTATATTATCTAGAACAGCGGTCATTTCGTATGACCGCCGGGCTTTCTAGTTTTACATGAGAGTTTTCAAAACTGAAAAACTAAGTATATAAGATATTCTAAAATAAACTTCGTAGCAAGAATACATAAGTTTTCTCCGAAGTGTTGTTAGAGAAAAACCTGAAACCAAGTTAGAAACATAATACTAAATGAAAAGTTAAAAGGAAATTATAGTATTAGTGATAGTAATAAATTACTTTTAAATTTGATTGATTCAATTTATAGCGATCATTATGTTCAGTTTTTGCTGTTGATTCCTGAAAATACCACAATGCAATTTTTAAAATTTACGGCATTTGAACTACATTTATTTTTCTGCCAAGGCATTAAAATATTAAATGCCTTGATTATTATTTTGAAGCGAAACTTTGAATATACAAATTTATTATTTTTTTAAAATAATGCACTGCGCATAAATACTAGAAAATATTGCCTTAAAAGTCTAAATACCTGCAATGGACAAGTATAGGCCCTGGTTTGGAAGTTGGTACTCGATCCCGAATAGCTCTCACAAAGTTAAGGAAGTCATCTGGACTTCGCGGACAACCGGAAACAGGCCAGTTAACGAAATGCATCTGCACAATGTGCCTGCTGTGGGAATTCTGGAATACATGTAATATAGAGTTGTAATAGCTATAAGATGGAAATGAAATGAAAGCAAATAATGTATTTCAGTTCATTGTTTAACTTTGATAACGCAAGAAACTTAAGACAAAATAAAAACTGTTCGTCGGATGGGGTATTTGTCGTCAAGGATGTCATAAATTTATGCCTATATCTGTCACCATATTCATTATTTTGATGATGTTTCTTCTGTGCTGTTTGCTTTTTATGAGGATGTTTATATGCCTTAGAGTTAAATGTGATGATTGTCTAATGTGGAGGTCTTCCGTTTTTGGTCCTTTGAACATATAGTGTAAGCGGTTTTCTAAGTCATCTCAGAGGCAGGATAGGGAATAAGCCTGAAGAATCCAGTTATTCCTTGTTCCACTTGTATGCCGCGATTATCGTGCGAGAAAACACGACGTGTACCGACTCTTTGATGTAATGTTGATGCGACACATGACGATGGAAGCTCCGAACCAATGAGCCCTGATTGGGCGTAGAGGCGAAGGTAGACAAGAGGACGTGACCATTGTCACGTAAGAAGCAGCAGTTCTGCTGCATTTTATTTGATTGGTTCGTGAAGCCTAAAGATAGGTGTGCACTGTGAAGTGATTCAGTTGGAGAAGCTGTTAATACACTGGCATCACAATTTGGGAATGCAATTGAAAATCTATTTGCTTTTTTAAATGGCATCCAAATCTGCTACCATACTTCTATTGTTTTTTATTACAGATCTGTAGCGAGATGAATTCTAGGCCATGCTATGGTGGCGAGTATAGTAGCAATTTATTGCTGCTCTTCTTTGCATGGCTTCTTTTTCAAGTATATCTGCTCCTTCCTTTTCCTCGTATATTTCACGTCACTTTATTCATGTCATAATAATGTGCTAATTCCGAAATCTGCTGCTAAATATACGATTATTATTTTTTTTTTCATTACAGCACTGTATGTAATTCTTTTGACTGGGAATAAAAATGCCAAATTAAAAAGAAAAATGTATACAGCATCGTAACAGTGACATATATATGTGCATAAATAAATGTGTAGGACGGAAGGGATAGATTGTAGGTAGGAAGGTATAGTAAGTGTAGAGGGCCACTAATATTTACCATAAGTTTGTCTTAATCTCATTCACTACAAATACAGACGACTAACATCCTTTCAAAAACCAGATGATAACATATTCATGAAGTATTTAGTGTCATAAAATTTAGTCATAAAAATGCCTAATGATCTTGGCCTCTAGAATCTAGGATATCCATAATTTTTGCATTTTGTTTATTAAATGTTTGTTATTTATTTCCGACCTCAGAAAAGGTAAAAGTTGCCGCTCTAAGCAAGGATTTTTTAGACGTAATGAATTTATTAACGGACACGAAAAAATATAGTGTCCTGTTTCGCCCCATGCTTAACATATATAAGAAACTGTAGATGATACATTCCTCCATCACTGGAGGTGGCCTCTTTCCCAGTAAGTGGGAAAGGGGCCATCTCCAGGAATGAACCATGGGATTTATTTGGCAGTGTGTGGAAGAGAAGAGCCTATTTTTGGTAATTGGTGGTATACTCTGTAACAATAATTGTTTTCGATGACGGAAGATGTTGATGCAGGATGATGATGCGACGGGGTACAAAGACGTTAGAAGGCTTCGTGGGTGAATTAAAATTTATTTATTTTTTACAATCACATTCTTAAGATTAAAATATACAGCTTAAAGGGCGCGATCTGAGTTCCAGTTCTTGATCTTATTCGTGTCTTTTTTACATTGTGATAAGGTGGCATAAAGGTTCTTTGTCTAGGATGAGATTTCAGAGTGCAATAATTTTCATATAAGTGGTGAAATCCTGTGACTTTGTTAACGATTCTGGTTGCAGCCTCGAAGGTCGCTCCAGCGGACAAAGAGATAAAAGAAGTCTTTTCATCAGGGTCAGGAGATGGTCACTTTGTTAGGTATGAGTAAAAGAATCTTTTCCCTCCCTGAGAAGAGGAAAAGACCTCTGTTTAGAGCTATGGGCATGGTGCCCTGCTAAGAGCGATCATTCCTCGTGTATAATGCGTTAGAGCATTTTTCCAGTAACAAAGTTCTGAAATTACGGGACTAAATGTATCCAAGTTCCATATTGTCAAGATATGCAACTGTTAAGGTTTTCATCTTATTAAAATCCATGTTATTGTTAAAACTTGAGTTTGAAGTTCATTCCAACCGTGTCACAATCCAGGGTTTGTGCAGCGGTTTTGGGCACTACACCACAGCATCTTTAAAACAATTGTATTTTATGGAAGAAAGGTAAGCAATGGCATATTAAACAGAGCACCAAGAGAATATATATTGTGTATTCTAATTAGAAGTTTGGGTTAACACTGATTCAGTTTTCTCTCGCCTTCATTTTGATTGTTGGTTACAGCGTTTTGAAAAGACGCAGTTTACGAAGTTTAGAGAAATTTATTTTAAGCGGGTTACTGTTTTCAGGATAGAAAGGAAAAATAATAAAATTAAAAAGAAGAGTTAAAGGGCTATTTAAAATTAAAATTATTATATATCCATGTAAAATATAAAAAATACGATGGCTTTGCTCTACGCGAACAGGCAACGTCTAATTAACTTTCCGCAATTTCAGGATCTTTTCCTAGACCAGTCTTTCGAGAACATTCTGGCATGTTATGTAACCGCTACTATAACTGCAGAGTTCGCGCCATTTTTAGTCAGATTGCTTTTCTCCTCTCTGCTGCTATCAGGCCCTTGCTGCCACTTTTCCCATCTGCCTCCTTTGTTCGAACAGTATGGCGCAGTAAATTTAAAGATAATCCTATTTTATTTCAATTACTATTGCTTATGTAATTTTGGAGAAGGTAATCTAAAAGAATAATCATCTGCCATTTGTGCTGAATAAAGATATGGATTCTTCTTTATCATCATTTAGATGCCAAGCTTCTTCACTCCTGTGCCCGACTGTCAAAATATGACATATATATATATATATACATTTACATTTTTGATGCTGTGTTAAGAAGAGAAGCGATAGGTAGCAGTCTAGTCGCACCGATATTTTATTTTCCTGTTGTGTTATTTAATGCAGTAGTTTCTCATTTATTTCTAATTTGCCAAATAGAACGTACGGTAATACGTACGGTAATTAAAAATATAAAGGCAGGTAGAGCATGTAAGTTCCTCAAATACATAAATAACACACGTGTGCAATTTTGGTTTAATTTTAATTGCAGACATTTATTTTCTGTTTAGAGCAGCTAAGAGTTTTTTGCATAAGACGATGAGATCTTACTATGAACCTTCTCTTTAAATACTTTACAGTTTCATTGGTATGAAAGTTGTACTACATACACTATTTACACTGGTGACCGGAAAAATGCCCAAAGGAAAACGCCCACAGGAAAAATGCTCACAGGTATAAATGTTCACAGGAAAAAAGCCCACACAGAAATATGCCCACATAGGAAAAAGCTCACATGAAAAAATGCTTATGAAAGCTTTCGTAATAATTTGTTGTTTTAGGAGATTTTTCGAAGGCTGCTTCATAATGATTCCATACTTCGATTGGAAACTGTGGTCTTCTGGAACTTTTTTGGCTCCAAACTTAAATAACTACATTTAAACATCAATTCCTATAGATACAGATCAAAAGTATGCAAAAATAGAGTAAATAAAAAACAAAAATAAACTATTGGGGGGAAAACAAAATGTCTTACAGGGAACAGTGGTATAAAATTTTACTATAATTTTTCATTCTTTTATATACCGCCCCTGAAAAGGTTAATATGAGCATTTGTCCAATAATTTTTCAAATGATCAAATAATTTTTCTTTAAAAAATTCAAGTAGATATAAGATGTTTAAACCGAGTAATTATTGATTGATTAATGTAAGGATATTTCTACGTATTTATTTATCAGTGGGCTTATTTCCGTGTGAACATATATCTATGTCAGCTTTTTTCCGTGTGAGCATATAAGTGAGCATTTTTTCCATGTGAGTATTTTTCTACGTGGGCATATTTCTGTGTGGGCTTTTTTCCTGTGAGCATTTATACCTATGAGCATTATTCCTGTGAGCTTTTTTTCTGTGAGTTTTTTTTTCCTAGAACCGTACTATAATTACACACTACATACACTATAATTTTGAGATCTTTTAATCAGTTATTTTAAGCTTTTCGATTTTATTTTAGTGCTTCATTTCAACCCTCAGAATATGATGCAAATTAATAGAGCATTATAAAGATGTATCAAACGTTGAAAAAGGATTAAAAAAAAGAAAAAGGTAGGAGATTAAAAAATTTTTAAGAAATACCGTTTCTTAAATTCTTGGACACATACCTCGCTGCGCCAGTTTAAACACAGCCTATCAGTTTGATAAATAAGATCCGAATTTCTTCTGCTGAAAGGTTTTACGAATCATGAAAGCTTTTACCCGACGCCTCTTTACTTACTTAAAATAAGACTACTCATTTTGAATTAAACTATGTTTCAGACTTTTATTAAGTAGTTGATCTACCATGTGATGTGATGTTTCTTCACTTTTAAAGAAAATCTCAGATAAAAAATTTTGTTTGATTTTTTTCTTTATTATCTTACTTTCAGTTAAACTACGGTATCAGTTGAAATTTTTATAGTGACCCTAAGAATAGTGACCCTAAGAATCTAGAAAAGAATAAATAATAAATAGCTTAAATTTTGATTCACAGTAGGTTAGACCTCTATGACGTCTCTCGTAGTATTCTGTCACTGCAAACTGAGATAAGTATAAAACAGCAGAAATATTTTACGCCGTACACTTCCTGTTTCCTAATAATACCTTCTCTACAACTACATAGTGGATTGATTCACTCTTAGATAGGGACTCCATATTTTAGCTTTATTTTATTTGTGCAATAATGTGCCTAAGTCATGATATCTGCGTTTGCTTTTGTGAAGCATTTGCGATCAGTGATAAGTAACCAAGCGTAGAAAAAGATTCTATATTTATGACACTTTCCTTTTACATTACTTCAAGTATATAGTTTTGTCTGATATGAAGTTTTAAATTTAACACGCATTTCACAGTCGTTTTTCCCTTCTTCAGTTATGCAGCTATTTTTTGACATTGCTTGATTTTTATTTTGCTCTAAATTATATTCTTTAGTTTTATGGAATATAACTAACTAATATTATGCAATTTATATGTAAGATAAAAATATATAAAAGATAAATTATAATTTAAATTAGCAATAGCTGTTAATTAAACTTATTACTTAAATTATTTTCCCTCCCTATTCTAAAAAGAATAATCTCTTTCTGCACTGCATTTTTATTTCGACACTAATGCATGTCACATGACCCTTACATAACACTGACGATGTAAATGGAACTAAAACTCTAGATAGCCAATAATAATTTTACAGCAGTCATCCAATCAAAATGTACTGATAACCAACCTGTTGGGAAATTTGAATTGCTCCTTTGCGGCTCGCCGAGCCGAAAAAGTTTAAAGCAGGGGTTTTCAACTTTTTGACTAACGCGTGACATCTAAGCAAAAATTGAAAATGTCTAGTACCACTACTATTACAAAAGGGCCGACTCTTTAGCTAAAGAAGGCACAAGTCACCCCTTCATCGACTCAGAGATACGACTTTCCATAGTCGCTGCCAAACACAAGATCTTCTGCGCTTTCATGTCCATCTGGCAAGCCCGTTGGGACGACTCAGAGAAAACACCGGTCGACACACCTACTCCATCTTTCCCGTGGTTTCCACCAAAAGGCTCAAAAGAGATTTCTGTCTACAACAAGCTTTCACAAATCACGGAAGATTTCCTGCGTACCTCAGCATGTTCTACCATCAAAACGTAAAATGCGCCTGCAGTGCTTCAGCTTCTTCAGCAGACGTTTCACATTACATCCACGACTGTCCACTCACTTCTCTCATCAGAGCCTTCCTTCCTCAGCTCCAGGGATCACATAGCCTCAAAGATCTTTTTCAGGATTTCTACGGACAGCGGGGCGTCAGAACTATCATAGAATATTCTAAATATATGTCTATTCTAAAAGAAACATAATCATAGCAGATAACCAGGTCTAGGCACCTGATGAAATGTAAAGGCAGCAAGCCTCTACTGATGTATATATGTAAATATCTCTAACTAAACCTTTTTGCTAATTTAGCTAACTAACCCTTTCATAAAATTTTAGCTAACTTTTTAAGCTAATTTAGCTAACTTTTTTAAGCTAACTAACCCTTTTTGTTAATTTTATACTAGCATTCCCGAAACATTGTAAGTTGGAGCACCCAATAAAAGTAATAACTATTGTTAAATCTGTTTATCTATAATAAGGTTGAAAAGATAAACGACCAAAATAGGTTGCTATAGCAACGATCAGAATAACATGACTGACCTGTAGTGCCCATTGAAGGATGAAGCAGGCGAAATAATAAATAAATAAATAAATAAATAGTACTACCACTACAAAGTGCTACTACCACCTCCTCTCTTGAACAAAGCTCAGGTCGCATAAATTTACGAGTGTTAGAGAAAAAACTCAATCAGGATGTTGGTGTTTTAATTTTTGAATTTAATAGTTAAAAATACTTTGCTTCCTTGCGTACCACCTATTTTCTCTTGCGGACCACCAGTGGTACGCGTACCACCGGTTGAGAGCCCCTGGGTTAAAGTATATAATCTCGCGGTAGAATACTCGCGATGTAGGTGCAGATTGTGGTGTCTTTCCAGAAATGAGGTGTGTCCTCCCGATGCGTCTTATTGACTTAATCAACAGCCGTGAATCTTTCTAGTATGGTGTAGAGATTTCAAGTCATGGAAACCTGAATTGGATTACAGATGTGGAAGACTAGATTGTAGCAGGAATCTAGCAGAGTATCCTGAATAATTTACTAAGCAACTAAGTACTTGCCTGACCAAATTAACTGTCAAGTAGACTCATGTTGTTCCAGTCAAGTACAGTCATCTGTTTGAACTGTTAAGTAGACTCAACTCATGTTGTACCAGTCAAGTACACTCATCTGTTTGAACTTTCAAATACACTCATATTGTACCAGTCAAGTACATTCATCCGTTTGAACTGTCAAGAAGACTCAACTCATGTTGTACCAGTCAAGTACACTCATCTGTTTGAACTGTCAAGTAGACTCAACTCATGTTGTATCAGTCAAGTACACTCATTTGTTATTATCAATGGTTCTACTAACGTGCCATAATCTGACATGGTATGTTCATCTGTTTTATTAAACTTCCCGAAATCACTCATTAAATCTTATGTTTTTAACTTACAGCAAGTGTATTTACTCCTTTGGTAGGAAACCATGTTTTACATTACTGCGTATCACTCTCAATAGCGGAACCAAAACTAAATCTGAATTAAGGTTTCACCCTGAACACAGTTCACTTGCTTTCTACAGACCTAAATGGACTGCTAACACTGTCCATTTAGGTCTTTGAACAATATATGTTGTATGTCTGTATATGTTGCACTGCCCCTCTTATTGAAAAGTTATCAAAAATTAAAACATTTTGAAATAGGCACAAATGATCTGCCAAGTTGTTTGTGGTCACATCAAGTTTACTGAAATAAAAATGAAGATTTAATCTGCCTCGGAACTGATCCATTTACACTTCCTGTTCATTACGTATTCAAAATTCTACATTCTACTCCACTAATATTGCTACGTCTTTTTGACTATAATGACGAAATTCCAAAATTTTTCACCTAGATCCTCCAGAAATTGTCTCTACAAAAATCATTACTTTAAATACTGCTTATCATTACATATATGAATGTACATAAAACTCTAATTATGCAGTTACTTAAATTTCTTCTTTAGTTACTCGCTTAACAGTTTGCGGCACGGTGTGCCCAGTCTGGGCACACCTAAAAATTTCCTTCTGTACGCACAGAAAAATTGAATGAAAAAGGATTTAGATGTTACTATAGGTTACCTCTGAACCTTCTTTATTTATAGCAGATGGCAGCTCAACACAAACCAGTCCATATATTTTACCCATGTTAGTTTTTTAAGACCCTCATTTTTCAAAGAAATCTTCCAGATTTTGTTTAGCGTATAAAAGGAATTGTTTGAAAAGAAATTTGTATGTTATGGTTTTGGCTGTGTACTAATTTCCTTATTCTATATTAGTTTTAAATTTTAATTTGAAATCTTGCCTAAAATCGAACGCGAACTCGAGTGGGCACACCAAGACTCTAGGATAACTGAGAGACTGTATTCTTTGTTTCTCCGCATCTCATCGGTCAGTTCATTGACAACAGAAAGGTGGGTTCACATCTGTGTTTCGTTTCCTGTGTTTTTCTCTTTCTTCTTTTCTCTCTCTTTTTTTTTTTTTTTTTTTTTTTTTTTTTTTTTTTTTTTGAGGAGACGTTTGGTTACTAACTAACAAATTGTTGGGGTGATATTCTGAAGCTCAAGGGTAATTTTAGCAGTTAGCTGTTTGGTTTTTCACTAGAGCAGTTCTCTTTTCTCTTTCGCTTTCGCTCAAAGTTTCACTAGCACTACGTTTAGTAGTTTTGAATCGTACACGTTTATTTAATTTCCTTTTACAGTGTATAATTTCTAACTGTAGATATAATATTAGTTTATGTTTTCGGATTTTTAATTATTTCCCAAACGGATCGGAGAGGGCTGACCATTTCTGAAGAACTGAAAGTACTACACGAATTGCTTGTGACTCTAATACGGATCCCGGTACATGTGCAAAACATACAATATCGGGTTGTGCTTTTTCAAAGGTGGTGTCACTTTCTTCGAAAAGTACCGCCATGAAAAAAATAGACTAAAGTGTAAGCATGAAACGCAAATAATGTAAATATCATATACCCTAGTTCCTTTTTTTCCTATTCATACGCATGTAATCATCATATAACCAAAAAACAGCCTTTTAAGGGTGTGTAGAGTAGCAGAGCTCCCCGTGGCACACCCTCGGTAATGCTAAATCTGCTACGGTATTCAGAATCTAGTGTTTTTTAATTTTAGGCAAAATATCTTACTCTTTTACGCACTTCCCAGCAGTGCTCTTTTCAGCATTCTTTTCAAAGCTCTATTCAATCAGTGTTCCCGCTTCGGGCACACCCACAGAATTAAAATGATAAGTATTATCTTCACAAAATTTTATTTGGGCACTCCTCTAGGCCTAATTAGACTGCCTACTTTTTTTTTTTTTTAATTGAAATTCCATTTTTAAAAGGTAGCGTGCCGGAAAGGGGTAACATAAACGATTTTCGTTGTGTAAGACATTTCAGTTTTAATTTTATTTAAATGCATTGACTATTGAGGTAACCTGTGATTTAAAAAATATGCATCATGTTTTCATAGAAAATTCACAGCATCACATTCTGAAATGATACTGTAAACAAGATAGTAAGAAAACCAAGAGTTTACTTACGCAATACTTACGTTTTGTATTTGAAATATTCGTATGACGTATGAATCAAGTATAGACTCTGAAAGCGTGTGCACTTGAATATAGCCATAACGACCGTTTTCACCTGATGATGGCCAATACTTCTCACAGGTCCTTTTGGCTCTCTCTACACACTGGGTGAGCATTACAATGACCGATACTGACTGCTGCCAAACCATCGTCCAAAAGTCATCCAGAGTATTTGGAAGAGGACCTTGACTAGCAATATATTCGAGCATGTAAGAATCGCCCTGAAACAGTAAAAGATTTCAGTAATAATTTTGCCTAATATCATGCACATGTATTTTTTCTTAGGTAGGTAATCTCAAAGAAAAGCAAATGGATCTCGAATTTAATTTAATTTGGATTTTGCCATTGATTTCTTGTTGATATTTTGCTTCGAAAACTGACCCTGCAATTCCAGCGATATCAAAAATTTCATTTTCGATCCGATGCATTGAGAATTTAAAAACGAGAATAGCTATTTCCTGATCCATATGTAAGTATTTCAGATCGGTTATAACAATTTTTACCTTACTTTGAATGCAATAGAATCCTTTTTTTTCCTTTGAAAACATACAGATTCCCCGTGCACCATATACTTTGTACAGCACGAGGCTTACAGAAGTAAGTTAATTAAAACATTAAAAGTTACATGCATAAATAAAACGAACAAAAGCAGAGAACAGCAGTCTGGACTTCATGAAAACAGATACATTCACTGGCCAAGTCACTCCGAACATTTCCAAATAGTTCTGAAAGCATAATCTAGGGACATCAAATGTAAGGCATGAGAAAATCAAATGTTCCACATCCTGAGGCACTCTTTTTGAACATTAACATAAGTTGTTTGATCTTAAATTAAAACGAAACAGGTAACTTGCAAATTTACCGCGACCAGATAAAAACTGAGACACTTTAAAATTTATAGAGAGGAAAGACTCGGAATGCAGTGTATGGTAAATGGAAAGAACGTTTTGTTGACCTCAGCATTCCAAGATGAAATAAATTCCTCATTCCACACAGCTAAAAGCTTCTTATAATGAAAGGACTTCCAGTAGCTCTTTAGAATGCTAATGTTGATATCAATGGGTAAATTTAAGGCATCTTTAGCTAAGATATCAGCTCTTTCATTTCCATAGAAACCATGATGAGCACGCACATAAGCAAAGCGGATATCAATTCCTCTATTTCTAAGTGAACTAACAGTTACTAGAGTTTCGATAACTAATTTGTCGCAGCTGGTAATTCTGTTCAAAAGTTGAAGAGAAGAAAGAGAATCAGAACAAATAAGGTACCTTGAGGATGTTGTCCCATTAACCTTGATCCATTGAAATCCAATAAAGTCACATTATAGAACATATTTATTTATTTATTTACCTTTCATATTTTCTGCAGTATACAAAATTGTAAGTATATACAAATTAAGCTAATTAACTTTTCGAAAGTTATGAAATTTTGCACTAAAGAGGAACTTTCTCTTTCTTTCTTATTTTCAATGTGAAATAAAAATAACTCGCTTTAAATAAACCATAACTCGCTTAGTTTTCAACACTTGATGCTTTAATACGCGCGTGAATAATTTTCCTCAGAAAATCCTCCGTGAAGGTATGCTTTTTTAGGCATTAGAGAGCTTTCGGTAGTTTCCCAATAATTATCCATACTAATGTCCATTTTAAAGATACTACTTGATATGTAAAACAATGTGTTACAACGAAAATTCTGCATATCATAAACTCTTGCGAATGAACACTGCCTTTAAAAAATATTACAATTCTAAATATATCTTAATCGAATTGTTGTACTCCTCTGGCTCTAGTATAAAAAACAAATCACGCAAAGTAGATAGAACATTACTGTGTCTTTTGTGAGATGAGTATAAAAAAGATGCAAAATTTAAATTTTATGCTAGTCCATTATACAAAATTTTCTAATTGGAAATTTGTGTTTTACTTGCTTTGAGAAAGTACAAAAAATTAACGCTTTGATTGAATGAAAAGAAATAGACAAAACCTCAGTTTCACAGACTGAAAAAGAAACTGATTTATCGTTAGATAAAATTTTCAAAACTAGCATTTCTTCAAGTGAGAATTCGTTAATCTCTTTTATGGTTTCACATTTCTATAACGTAAAATATATTTTTGAGCAATATCCTTTAAAAAATTTGCTTTTGCGAAGTGCTTGTACAATTAATTTATTAACAACACGGTTTGCATATGGTGTTCAGGTTTGTTCTGAGAATTTTATTTTATCATTTTTGGATTAATCTGATATGACGGAAAATAATTCATATATGAAAATACATTTCTCATAATATTTTTTATTCCAAACTTCGTATAAAAATTTTAATTTCGGATATATTTGCTAAGGATGTGATGCGACTCAAATTGCAATCTGAAATCTTCAAATTGTATTAGTTCATATTTTCTAAATGTTTCTCTTTATTTGATTCATTCTTTGATTTAAACTGTGAGTATACAATCAATCATTTAATAGGTATTTATTCGAGTAATGTGTTTGAAGTACAATTTATAATGATACATCTACATCATAATTTTATTTCTGCAATAGTACGGTAGTCACAGTAGATAATTTATACAAATAAAAATAAAGGAAAATTAAGGATTTATGGTGCAGAATTTAGTGCGTATTCGCAAAAAATATGACTTAATATTAAGCGTATATAAATGCAGAAATTTTGACTGAATATTTGAGAACAATCATAGTTTTCCGTTAACAACGTATAGGATCTAGGCCTCACAGGAATCATTTCGTAATAGCTATCACTTTATTTATACTGAAATAGAGAACGTGAAAAAAAAAAAAAAAAAAAAAAAAAAAAAAAAAAAAAAAAAAAAAAGGTATTTTATTTGGAAAATTTAGAAAAAACAACAACTTTGCCTTAACATCGGAAACCAAAATACTATGCAATAATAAGCTAAGATATACCAACACCAAACACTTAAAACACTTCAATGAAAAGAGTGGCACATAATGTAAAAAAAAAAAAAAAAAAAAAAAATAGGTATTGCTTATATGAGAGATTATGGATATTTATTTCAATCTTAATTACTATATTTCTCTAACTGGTATATATTGTTATGGGAATATAGAAGAATTGTTTGGTTTGGTTTAGCAGATTATGGCAAAGCATATCTGGTTAAGGGAAGGGATGGTCTTGTGGAGGAATTTCTAAGAGAAACAAGCTGAAATACACGCTACACATACGAAAAAACGAAAACGCCCATGCAGACAGCCCGTTCGCCTGGAATCGAATCCAGGTCGGAACTACCAGTGATCAGCGATTTTACCGCTCAGCCGCTGGTGAAGAATATTATAGAAGAATAATATAGAAGAATAATCGTTATTATTCTTCTATAATATTCTTCACTTATTCTATAATATTCATTAATAATTGTTATTATTCTTAAAGAAGATTTTTACGGTCATTCTGGCGAAAAATGTTCGTTAAGTGGATAAGAATAGTATTTCGTTTACTTCATCATTTGTTCTAAATTATATTAAACAAAGCATTTCTTTTTAAATCTGTGAAGTACATTCGCAAAGCCATATAGAAGCCATTATTATCTTCAACGGCATGTAAGATGCCATACCGACATCTCGCACGCCCTTGAAGATGATAATGACCTTGGGACTCGATTCCCAAGTCTGTTATATGCGAGTCGAATTCTCTGTCACTAGCTCCCATTAGCTCCCGTGAGCATATAAGCATTCTGTACCGCGCCACGCTCATAGAGAAAAATCCCTGCTCGTGATTGGATATGGCTTTCGATGACATCATTTCCTCTACGCTTTTTAACTTGTTGACTTTGCTTGGGCTCGAGGGTACACCTCCATACCTTTTGTTTACATTTTGATAACAGTACCCAAAAGATTATTACGTGCGTTGCATTTTTGTTCTTATGAGATTGCACTTTTTGCAACCCTGCAGTTTGGTGAATTTAATATTAAAAATGTAGTGATTTTTTTTAGAACGAAAAAGTATTATTTCTCCTTGTGCTAACTCCGTAAATGCGTATTAATATTAAGTGCAGAGATGTTTAATAAAAGAATTCTTAATTTCAAACCCTTCATATTAAAGGTGTTGTGATTATTAATTAATTATTTCATGTTCATTATATATCCATTCTATGTTGATGCAACCTACGAAAGCATGAGACAAGTCAGTTTTTGGAAATAGCAAAAACGACGTTGGGAGCTAACATTACACAAGTACACAATAAAATCACAATATTTATAATCAGTCTGAAAAAGTAAAATTTATTTTTGAAGTTAGACTAATATACATTTGGAACACTGATATGTATTTTAAATTGAGTAATATTGCTGTATGAATATTGCCCATTTTTTAATGTGTAACATCTTTTATACCTTTGCATAAAAATAGTGTTTGTCAGAGAAAAAGGGAGTTTCTTTTCTTATACGCTTGTATTAAATTCAGCGACAGTACTGAATGCCCTCTTTTCATTTAAAATAACAAATATATTAGAATGACATGGAAATAACAAAATATTTACAAAGGAAAATATTTTCTGCAATGTGAAAGAAATAGAATGCAACAAAAGTGCAATAATAATAATATACTTACCAGCACACAACGCTTTTACAGTTGGATCGAAATCTTCTTGGTTTGGTTTTAAGCTATTTATATAATATAGGCACGTAAGATTGCTTTTGATATTAACATCGTCTTTTTTTTTAATTAAGATTTTATGATTTTATTATTGCATGAAACTGGAAGCCATCTGTAGAACGCTGTAGCTAAATTAAGCTAAATTATTTCGTTTCAAAGAAAACAAACGATAATTTTCACATATCCGTGTCACTCATGCGAGTCATTCAATGAAAACAAAACCATAAGAACCCCGTCTAAACGTCATTACGCCAAGAGAAAATGATGTCATCTGAAAATATGTGCAATCATATGTAAGAATTTTTCCCTATGCGCGTGGCGCGGTACAGAATGCTTATATGCCTCCAGTGAGCTAGGTTCAAGAATTCTGACTCTCAAATTTGTGAACGTTGAGTGGCTCTCGAGATCTCTTACAAATTAGAAAGATAATTCACTAATAGATGAATAAGAAATGTACTTACTGGTATATAACTAGCATTGATAAAATCTGATCTTGTTTCATCTCCTAAAGATAAGAGTTTCACTCTGGAATGATCAACTAAAAGGAAAAAACAATATTTAATTCTAGGTACAGAGAGAAAGTTACATTTTTAACCAAACTTTGAAAATAATGGGCAGGATTATAATATAACATTCATTTAATACATATGTATGCAATAAGGCACTTGTTTCACAATGCCATTCGACCAAAAGATCTATAGAGTTCCTCACTTTGTAAATTCTAAGTTACTGTTGGAAGGGAAGAATCTTAAGAACTGATAAGCGAATAATCGCTTGAGTTCGTATCACAGGAATAAACATGATGGAAGGGTAAGCTAACCCTTTATTAGTCCAACTAAAGTTTAACAAAACTCCGTCTTGGAGTGTACAATAAAGCCGACACCTCGGCTTGAACTTAAGAGACTAAGAATCGATACTAAAACTAATCTTAAACTAAAGAGATATAGCCGAAGCTTATCAAGATTCTCAACAGAGTTGGCCCCCTTAACGATTAATAGACTGCGAAGCTATCAATCAGAGCCTAAAGTACGGCCGAGCATAATAATAGCTTACCAGAGAGTAGCTTAAAAAAGGCTGAAGGCGTGCAGCCAGAAATACGTGATATCTCTCTCATTCCCAGACGAAGAACTTCGCGGTTAAATACCGCTCTTCCTCATTATGTATTCAGACATGATTCTAAAACTACGTTCTGGCCGGGAGTGGTAAGTTGAAGTTAAGAATCGATAGAAAAGGAACTTTAACTCAAAATTTAACTGTTAATAAAATTAACATAATCCTTACAGATCTTCGTACGTGAACTTTTGTGAAGTTAATGATAGGACTGAATCAACAATTGACATGATTTTTATGATTATATTCCTTTTTAAAAATAATATTACAATGGGTTGTATACTTTATTACACGAATAATGTTTTTGGTGCCAGATATGCATATGTAAGTAATTTTCCTGAAAACAACTCATGTGTTCTTAATTTTTGATACAAATGACATAGTGAAAGAAAACAAGATAATCACACCGAAGATTTCAAATGACATCCTCTTCCTACATCCTAACAAAGAAGCTTCCATTTTAGGCCAAGCTGTCTGCAATAAACTGATAGAATGCATTTGGGGAAATTGCACCTGCTGCTGCATACCTTAGGGGCAGGGAAGAAAACCACACTGCAATTTCGAACATTTCGGGGGTTGTGGTCATTTGAATGAAAAGCTGTCTTGGGCGTTTTGGCTTTCAAAGGGTTAAATAAAAAATTAGCAGCTCAAGTATATATTCTTAATGGTCATTTATTTGATAACAGATTTATGTAAGAAATCTAATAAAAAATTCGAAATCTTGGCGTTTTGAAAAACCAACTTATGTGAAGAATAATCAATTACCTCTTCAACTTTTTGATATATTACTGTGTTAAAGAACTAAATTAACACTGTTGCAAAACAAAAATTTAAGTACTTAAAAATATATAGAACAATCTCACGTGCCAAGTTTGTTTCAAAAACGTTCTCTGCAGAGAAAGTTTTTTACATTCTTATTAAATTGCAGCTTTTCATAGATATACACCTTGCACAAAAGAAATGAGACAGTTCTATATCCTGTTCTACTGGGCCGATTAACCGAAATTTAACTAGCATTTTTCATGTGTTTGAAAGTGTGACTTAGGATATATGTTAGATTTATATATGGCATTGTTCTAACATAGGTATTTTGGCACAAAACCGTACTTTTCTGAAATGGGACGCAGACGATTTTCCATAATTCGATTCTACGACATAAATTATGCTCAAATATTAAATTTTGTGAAATCTCGTGACAAACTTAGAAAGAAATTTAATAATTTATCTTGACGTACTTTTTTCAGTTTGCGCGAAGAGCAAGTGACGGAATTCTTAAGTTATTGTAACTTATTTTCCTTTCCCTTTCATTATACACGAACGGAAAAAAAGTGCATCGTTCAATCTTTCAAATATTTTTAAGAAGTGCGTAAAGTACATTTGAGTTATTTTTGCTTATAACAAATATGCCAAATTTCAAAACGCTAAAAAATATAAATTCTAGTATATCCTTGGAAATTTTGAATAAGGAATAAGGAATAATGTTTCGTGGCAACAATTTAAAAAGTGATTCAGACATTTAAAGTAACACGCCGCCAAATCCCGTTTCGACAGTTACAGCTATTCGTGCTAATATCCTTTTGGGCCCCAAATAATGTTTCATAATAGGACTACATAATGAAAAAATTTCGCATTTCTATATTTCATAGTTATTTCGAGCAGAAGGTCTGCAGTCATGGAAAGACTTTATACTCACTGTTATTTTAATCTTAAAATGTGCTTGAACTGAATTTGAATAGGTGTTTTAGACTACTGCGAAATAAGCAACTAAATTAAGGAGAAAAAATCCCACCAATATTTTTTTTAAGAAATATAAATTTTGAGAGGTTTTTTATAACTGAATACATGCTCTTTTCACATGCAGAAAGCTCTCAAAATCTGTAAATCGTAACTAACGTAATGACAATATTAATTAAAAATATTACAAATATTCTGCAGTTACACACAGAAGCATAATTAAGACCTTAGGTTTTAGCGGATAGGATGCAATTAGATCCTTAAAAGCTCTAAAGCTTTTAAGGGAACATATTAAATAAATAAATTGGTTTATTATGACACGTACAAGGCAAGATTTTTACCCATCGATTCTTTGTCAGATTTTCATTCATTTTAGCAGCTGTGCAAGGTAGTTGAGGATTATTCTTATTCAGTTTCTGTAAAAAATAATACTAATATTAATACAAATTAAAACTCGTATACTGCAGTTATTAAATAATGCGTAATAAATCATTAGAATAAAAATATAATTCAAGGCACGAAATTTTATTTGAGGAATGTTAAAAGCAAATTTTCATTTTCTCTTAAAAATTCAACATTATTTTCTAAACGAATGTTATATCGCAATTTCAATTTTGAATTTAAAAATGTGTATTATATATATACTTTTTTTATATATTTTTATTATATATATATTTAAATATACTTTTTGGGTGGAAAGAATGTATATACATATACATTCTGTCCACCAAAAAAGTATATGCACGCAGAAGAATTCGAGCCACAATCACGAAACTCGACAGAAATGTAGTCTGGTAAGAGATTATTAAAATTTAGACGCCATTGAGACAAGGCTAAGCAAGCTACGCTCATATCAGATGCGCGAGTGAGTTTAAAGCACGATTGCTCGTGCCGTAGGGCTATTCAAATGAATCTGTCGACCTGGATCGATGGCATTGCGACTAGAGATGACTCTGAGATGCAACCGCCGGGCAGTACGAACAGTTGCCGGACTTTGAGAAGGGGTGTATAGTAGGTTTCAGAGAAGCAGGTTGGTGAAACAGGCGTATCGGCTGCCACCTTGGTTGGAGTGATATGGTAATTACTCGGTGTTGGCGACAATGGATTGCAGAGGGATAGTCTACCGTCCCTGAGTGTCAAGGCGTCCCAGAAACACAAATGAGCGCGAGGATCCCGCAATCACAAGAGTGGCTACATCCGCACCAACAATGTCGTTAGCATCGATTCGACGCCATTTACCACCTTCCAAGCATCCAGTGGTATGAAGGGAAAATTCGGAGACGACTGCCCGACTTTGGCTGGTATGTTCTGCCGACGTGCATTAAGCTGCCTACCACTGACCTCACACCATAGCCAGTCTCGATTGGATTTTTGCCGAATTTGGGAAGAGAATGCAGTAAATTAATTTTTTATATTGTATAGAGCTTCTGGAGTGATGGACTAATCAAGTGGGATTCACACTTGATGAGATAATGTCGTATTGGAACACTAAAATTATTTTGGGATCAATATGTCGGTATTTGTACTGACCAAGAAGTATCCACGATGGGATGAATCAAAGAATTTTTCATTTTAGCGAAAACCGTCCAAATATAATATTTATCATTGCTGCTTTTTGCATCGAGAAGCACTTATTTCGAAGACAATGCCTAAAAACTGAACGAAGTATTGGATCAGGTAGTTTCCACGGTTAATTTTACTAAAATTAGAAAAGATGAATTATGAAAGATTATCATTATGAAAAGACGAATGTTCAGAGAACTTCCATCATCTATGGAAGCTGGCTACGAATGTTTAATTCTTCATACAGAAGTGAGGTATCTGACTTGCGTTTTAAATTTCAAACACTTGGTAAATATCTAAAAAGGATAACTGGATTAATGACTTGGAGTATTTGGCTGAAAGATTTGCTTACTTTAATATTGTCAATATGAATGTGTAAGTAATTAACGATGAACGTCTTTAATCGACAGACGAATTTTGTGCCAAGAAAAAAAAAACTTTTGCTGTGGATGAGACATGTCAGAGAAAAGGAAGCGAAATGTTTCTTTCTGGGCAATATACAAACTACGACTTCTTCAATTTACTCTGAACGCATTGAAAAAACTCACGTCGCTTTCTTCAAAGAGTGAATTAAAATTAAAGTTAATTGAAAATGTTCCTGAAAAAAAGTTTCTGTTAAGGATGAATACCTGGTTCCAGTGTAGAGGGGTAAAAAACTTCACTGAACACATTGTTATTGTTTCCTACGTTATATTTTTGCGATTTTAAGTGACGGTTAATATTAAAACAAAGGAATGCGAGAGGCTTGGAAATTTAGAAAAGAAGATGAGAATTGCTTTACAGTTGATTCTTCCAAATACTGGGGAAGTTTGGAGAAATTACCAAGTTTATGTACCTCATTAATTTTGAGATTGTTTTTAAATATTGTAATTTTTTAATAAATATGTTTGCATCAATCAATACAGATATTTAATCTTTTATAAAATTAACACTTTGAAGACGGGTGACCCCATGCACACACTGCTCCAAAACGCGATTCCTTTCCCTTCCTCTCTTCTAGTAAGAGTAATTTTTGAGAGCATTTCCAACCCCCCCCCTTCACTGCGCTCTTTATTTCAAAAAGTTTGGACAACCCTGCTTTTATGTTTCACTATTGACAGATTTCTGCTCGAAAAGTATCTTTCAGGGTTCCTGGGCCATGGGTCTACATACCAAGGGGAGAACCAAGAGTCTACATACTCCATTGTCTCATCATGACTATCTACTCTGTTTTTCTCTTTTCCTTCTCTTTACGACGTTTTTATGGTTCATTTTGATTCATCGTTACAATAATGGCTTGGTCTAATAAATTCCACAGCCTTCATTGTTCCTATCCTTCTTCATTTCCATTTACGTATTTCATTTATTATATTTTCAGGAATTACGTTTTCACTAACCATTAACTAGCATTCAGTTTTTTACTTCATTCTAAGCCTTAGCAAGTGTCTTCCAAAACACCAACAATTCTTTTGTATTTTTTAAGTAAAGATTTGAGAAATATTTTAGGGGCCATTGTCCCGGTAATCAGAGATTTAGTGTACACATTAAAATTTAAATGCATCCCATTTAATTTAAAGTTTTATATGCAAATATATTTTTACGGTTCTTCCTTATATGTATTTGTGTGTTGTTGTGTTGTGGCTTGTCTCACTGACAGCAACATCAGAACAAGGCCACGAAATTCGTCTGGCAAGGAACGCAAGATTGCGCCGGTCGTTGTCAAGATCCTTAAGCACCATACAGGTCACACTACGACTTCCCTCAGTTCCGTCCCCAATTTTGATGTAGAGCGTCCTGAGGGGACGGGTCTGAGGATTTCCCAACCCGCTTCTCCTACCAACAATTTCCCGAGATGACTTCCTGCTTGCCATATATTTAGGCTGTCCCCATGCCGAAAGGCACTATACATTTACAAACATCCATGCTTTCTCCAGACTTGGAACCCAGGACATTCGGTACAGCAGTAGGCTCGCCTATCCCCATACAATCTGGGCGGTCGATATAATATTTAATCTGTATTATCAACTACATTTAAAATATCTGATATAGTAGTGATATATTTTATATAGTACTGTATTACTTTCATTTTAGCTTTAGAGATATTTTTTTAAAAAACTGTTGGAAATCCACACTTATTTGAATCTACGAAATGGTGATATTGTATGGAATTGGTGGTGAAGAGTAGCTTGATAATAAATTCACAACCGTTTTTACTCGTCAGAATAAAAAGGAAGAAAGGAAGGAATAATTTTCGTCCTCGAATGCAACAGATTTCACAAGATAATTTCTTTTCAGACTTATTCACAATTTATTATCTCTAAATTATTATATGCGAAAACTGAATATTAGTTCACAAGAAAAAACTAGCTTTCGTGCTAATTTTACCTAATATAATCCCCAAAAAAATTTTCTAAAATATAAATTAATTTTTATTTGGCAAATTAGCTGTTACCCGGCATGCGTTGCATGTTTCTTAAAAGAAAGAGTTTGTGTTTTGTTCTCTTTATTGAAGTGTTTTTGGATACACAGAATTTTTTGTTTCTCCATATGAAATAATCCTCACGTTTGTACACGAATAAATCGGAAGGTTTTCCGACGCGTGAGCAGGCCACATACAGCTGCCCATGTGAAAAGCATGGATTTTCTTAATTTAGTCCACAAACTTGTAGCGATTGTCACTGTACTTTGTTGATGGTCCCTGCAAGTGCGAGTTGTACCGGAAGCTGCAAATGTTAAAATTTGACTGACATATTTGTCGGAATCTTTGGGATACATGCTGTTACCCGTTACACGTTGCAAGGCTACTTAAAGGAAAGAAAGTGTTTGCTTTAATGTACGTTGAAATGCTTTTGGATACACAATATTTTTTGTTTTTCCCTCTGGTGCGGTCAATTGCACTTTTTCACCCGTGCAGCACATTCCTGGTGTTTTATTCTTAAATTTGACGTCTCTGCAATATATGCATACTTTATCCATCCTTCTAACGACCATACTTGAATGAAGACTGTAAACATAATCAGCATCATAATAGAATGCATCAAGATTTAAATTAGCATGCAGTATTCGTCGAACAGCCTTCTTGAGCAGTGCGTACTCGAAAGTTTTCCAGTCTTACTTCCCGTTGCTCGTCTGTTTCAGATGAATGAGCTTGAGCAGGGCGTACTTGAATGTTTCCCAATCTTGTTGCCCGTTGCTCGTTTGTTTCTGAAGCTTCTCTTTTTCTTTCGTGCGTGATCGAACAATTGGTTTTCGTTTGGTGGCATAATTGATTTCGTAGCGCAAGCAATGCTTAATGACGGCTATTACAAATTCACTTTTAAGCTTAAGCACAGAAAATGTTTCAGGCATTAACAATGCGTGTCATTGAAAATGACACGCATGTTAATGCCTGAAAAAGATAAATATTATACACTTTGCTGGACGGTAACACATTTTAAAATATTTTAATTTGCTCAGTGGCAGAACATTTCTGTTAAAAAGCCGAGTTTGTTTATTAAGTTAGAGACAAATTAATATAACTAGAGTTTCCCAAGTGGCAAAACCCAATTATATTAATTGGAACATGTAGTTTATTCCATGTCGCCGAGTTACTTGATTAAATTTGTAACGTGTATATATCTTACGCTTTGCAGAGTGGTAACACAAATCTTTTAAAACACTGAAGTTTTAAGCAAAAGTTCGTTAAATTAGCATATAATATACGTATATAAAAAGTACGAACCCCATGGGCTGGTTTTTGAGAAATCTTATGTAGACAGTGTCTTGTTTTGAAGTGTCTTATGCGTCTTGTTTTGAAGGTCGAGTGTGACAAGTTTTGTAAAGATCGGAATTAAACTTTAGATTTATTTAAAAGACAAAATAGCAAAAACACAAACATTCATTTATATATATAGATATATATAGAGATTAAATGTAGTGAAATCTTCGTTATATAACTACTACCGTTCAAACGACTTTGATCTTCTATGGAGACGATTACATTGGGGAATAATACTGTCAGGGAAGTTGGATGCTGTTACTTAATTATGGTTTCAAAAATAAATAGTCATTTCAAGGTTAGTTTTCTCTAGAATACAGCTGTGATGAGGAATTTTATTGTTCGGATTTGATCAGCTGGTGACGTCATAAGATGAAAATAAATAACTACCGAATAAAACTCTCCATCATCCAGAAACAAACTACTGATTTGATCAAAAATGTATAAAACATTAATCTTAGATACATTTTAGCTTTAATAATGGCCTAGCATGTTAAAACGAACTTCATTTTACGATGAGATGAAATTAAATAGGTAATTGAAACTCTGAAAGAATAAAGAAGAGAAGTTATATTTATGAGAAATTTCGGTACTTTTCCGTTTTGCCGGCGCAAACGATAAAGTCGCCAATAATGGTACAACCGATGCCAAACGGAATATTCTCGCTGGTAACCTTTTACGCCTCATTTTCAAAACAAGTCGCAGCTTTTTCTTATCAGATTGATTGTTTCTTTCAATACTGGCATATAATTGCACAGAATTTTTATCAGATAGTTCAGTTTCATGTCTAAGGCCATTTTCGGTAATTAAGTCAATTAGGATGCAATCACAGCGCTTACCCGAAGCCGAAAATATAGAAAAGGTAAAGTCAAGGGTTAAATTCATCAATTCTAATAAGAATGCATTAGCGAAGTAAAGCACTGCAATTTTACATAATTCCTGAGTAAGCTATTCGTACGAATTGAAAAATTTCTTGCATTTAAACTTGTATTCCAAACTAAGATTTAACTTGAAATTAATGTAGATAATTACTGAGAGCATTAGATTTTTGTAAAGTAGTTTACGTGACATGAGATCGCTTGGGGTCACGTGATATGAACCGGCGAATCAGGATGTTGAACCATGAAAGCATAGTAAATTCTTAAATTAATGTCTTTTTACAAATTTATTGTCTTTATTTATTGGCTTTTTATAAAATTTTAAGCGATATTAAAATGTTTATGCCTTCAAAAAAAGAATTCTTAGAACTAACATTTTTTTAAATATTTTTTATGTGTATACTGTATGTTGTCGCCAATAAAGTCTGCTTGGCGAGATTTGCGCCGGCCAAACGGTAAAGTACCGAAACTTCTTTTAAATACCTCACGGTAATCTGTCCCAGGAAATCAACTAAAGATTATTCTAGTAGAAAGTTCGAAACATTTTCGGTTGGTATCAAATATTAAAATAATATTCATGAAAATAGGAATTGTTCTATTGTGAAAGCAAGTAAAATTTATAAGGCTAAATGTTTAATAACTCACTTCAAACTCTCGGGCGAAGCCTAAGCGCCCATTCCTCATTAAAGTGTTCACATGACTCTCGAAATTAGCTACAGTCGGAGTTCTGAAAATGGAAAAATAATTTTGAATGCTCATGTTGTATTGACTGCTCGTAGTGGAGTTACAGTTATTTTCGCAGAAATTTATCAGAAGCGATATATTCATGCAACTTTCAAATCGATGGTGCTACTTTGGTAGACGGTTGCAAGGATTTGACGATTTTTTTTGACGAGCAATACGACTTATGGTAAACCCATTGCTAGACAAGTTGTTTATGGTAACCGATACTTCGTTGTCATTTTATTATGCATAAATTCCGTGTTTTAAATATTATTTATGACTTCAAAATAATAAAAATTAATTTAATTTTGCATTTTTATTTGAAATAAAAATTTTATTGTTTATGATAATTTATTGAATTTTATGTTGTGAATGATGTAATGAATGACGTCACATTATTTTAAAAGTAATTGGTTTTAATATCTATAAATTTAATCTAATGTTTTAAACATTATTTATGGGTGTTAAATATTAAAATACAATTTAATTTTGCATTTTTTTTAAATATGATTTTATTATCAGTGATTATTTAAATAATTTTAATTCCATGCGTGATGTAATCAGCTCCCTGATTGGTTGCACTGAAACGAGCTATTTCCCTGTGCATTTGCGCACCGCGCCATTTTAAAATTTTATTATTCATCTCTTCAAATTCCTCAGATTTCAAAGCGAATGGATGTGTCCGTTTCGAAGATGAATGTTGTTATTGGTAATTAATTACCAAGAATTATTGGTATCGGAATAAAAAAATTGCCCTTTGAGACCTTATTTTGGCCAACCTGGCTTTCCTAATCAAAGATTTATTTATAAATTGTTAATAGCGTCAGAGGAAATTTATTTTAAATTTTTGGAGAAAACCTCGCTAATTGCTTCTTCAATGTAGTGCGAGAGATGTGGATCACAGATGAAGATAGTTAGAAGACCTTTTCTTATTTTATTTTTTTTTAAGTTTCGAATACTTTATTATGCGTAAAATGCGTAAAATACGTAAAAACAGCATTTTTCAAGATGACTGACGACTGTAAAAATCGCGCCAACAATTGCGCCAATATAAATCGCCAAAAATCCGTGTAACCGTCTACCAAAGTAGTACCAAATCGAACAAAGCAAAAATACTAAAATGTCTCGACTGCTTTACTTTAAGTTTAAATCACTAAATATTCGAAACACCTGAGTTAATATAAATATCATTGCCTGGAAATATACCTTAACAAAAAATTTAACAAAATCCATATGCTTTTTACAGAATATCGGTGCTTATATATCGGAAACTACGAATTAATTAGATTGAATAAATAGCCAAAATTAGGGTCTAAGATCGAAGCTCCTCAGAGAAATGGCCTAAAATAACAGCAATTTTTGTTGTCATTTGTTGCGTTGAATCTATCTGAATATTATTTCATTCAGTCGTTCTCGCCTTTAAATTAAATATGACTCCATTCTATAACACTTGAAAAGAAATATTTTCAATAAACAATTGCATTTTCTTGCTTAAGGTATGTGTGTGTGTGTGTGTATTGAGAATACGGCAAAGCACACTAGGGCTATCTGCCTAAGGGGAGGGATGCCTTTCGTGGAGGACTTTCTAAGGGAAACTGGCTCGTATACACGTTACACATGGGGAAAACCACGAAAACGCCCATGCAGCCAGCCCGTTCGCGGGATTCGAACCTCGGACCGAACTACCAGTGTTCAGCGATTTTACCGCTCGGCCGCTGGTGGGCTTTTCTTGTTTAAGAAAGCCAAAATTTATTTGCTTACACACTTAAGGAAACCAAAACATTATTCTAAGCTTTCTTACTGTTGCCAAACTACAAAAACAAAACTCTGTCTAAAAAGGAACACAACGGCTATTGAATAGCGTTTAACAAATACAAATCATGGAGCTCACAGCATCATTTATTAATTCAACATCTAACGTTTAAATTTAATCGCAGGCCAAAAAGATTATTCAACATTGATTTCTATTGCTTCCTATTACTCTTTTATTTATAACCTGGTCTTAGGCGGTAGATAATTTATTTTTTTCCTAGTTTAAAAAATTAATTATTAATGCTGCTTTGGCACTTCGTTAAAATTATTCACTAAATTATATTCAAAATTTTAAATTTAAGTATATTGTTATGGTTTTTGCATTTATTTAGCTTTTTTTAGAAGAATTTGTAATTAAATTATTTTATATTCTCGTAAAATGCAGCACGAGACTTATTTCAAGACAAAGCTACGCCGAAAAACTTAAAATACAGGAGCACACGCATTTAACATTTTTATTAAATCGATATCTCGTAATTGTACTCTTGCTATCCAGAAAATACGAGAATATTCTCGTGCACAATTAAAAAGCTTATAAAAGCGGGATCAAAACATCACAATTCAGTTGTTTACTTATTGCTGTTATTGATTGTAACGAATTCGCGGTGAAATCGGATTAGCTTTCTCTGTTTTGAATTGTATTCTGTAAAACGTTTTAGTAGTTTAAAATATAACTACTGAGAGATATTGCAATATTGTACGATTTTCTCTGAAGAAATTCAAGCATTTTGTATTTATTCTTGTGATAAGAATAAATTTTATTCACTTTTCATCGGAATTGTGCATTCAATTCATTACGAACATGTACGCACGCAACAGTATATATATATATATATATATATACATAAAAACCAATGGTTTAAGAACTTTAAATTAAGAACTATTGTGCTATTGCTACCAAAATTACAGATATATATTTAATTTTGAATTTAATTATTATCTCACAGGAACATTTTAAACATTTGATTCATTTGGATGATTTTATAATACATTTGTCATATGTTCAGGTAAAAGTTAATAACATTTTTAGTGGTTTATATTTAACAAAATTTGATATGCATTTCTCACACATCTAAATTAGTTTAATTGCATATTAAATTAATTTCCTTTATTTAAGTTAAATATATTGAAATACTCTTCCTAGGAGATAATAATGAAATTCTGAAATTAAATTTATATATATATGTGTAGTTTTTAATCCTTTTACGGCATTATTTTTAATTGAATGTCTATGGTGTGATTATTTACCAAATTAGATTTTTTTGTTCTTCGATATGTTATCTTAGCAGTTTTCTCAGTCTTATGGAAACTTACAAACATAACGACCGTTCGCCCATTTTATAGATGATTCTTCGTTGCTATTAAAACAAATTGTTTGCTTGAAAATTACATTTTTAACTGCAATTGTATTTTTGCAAGTCTGTTGCTTGACAGTTTCGTTTTCATGCAAAATGGCGCTTTTAAAGATTTGGAGCAGTGGATGGAAGGCTATGTTTGTTCTTTTTCGAAGAATATTATTCGTATCTAGTTAATTAAAACCGCCGTGAAAGCCAAAGCTTTTCGATATCTAAAGCTTCGATAAGTAATATTGCCAACAAGAAAGGAATAAATGTCTTTAGCTGGAAAAATTCTTCCAAATACATACCCACAGAAAAAAATGGAATGTATCGAATGTTGCAAAACTAAGATCATTAATATTAAACAAAATCCGCCAAATCAAAGTGTCGAGACATTAGGTATTTTTGGAAGCCGGAGAGATCGAAAAATTAGCAATTCGCCGTGAATCGAACCACGAACCTCTGAAATACCGGCTTAGCGTGATGACCACTACACCACGAAGGCACGCTTGGAAGGCGGGAGAAATACCTTACATACTCCCCTTTTAAACGGCGACTGGGGTTATTTAGGGGACCCAATCGCCAAATCCTGGGTGTGGAAAGTCATCATCCACAACTCTTTAGTTCGGGCGCCACTGTAGAGACATTAGGTACTCTTGGAAGCAGGCAAGATGAAAAATAAGCAATCGACTTCGCCGGGAATCGAACCACGGACCTCTGGATACCGGCCCAGCGTGCAGAACCACTACACCACAAAGGCATGCTAGGAAAGTGGGAGAAATACCTTATATACTCCCCTTTTTAAAGGGCGACAAGAGTTTTCAGGGGACCCAATCGCCAAATTCTGGATGTGGAGAAACCTCATCCAACACCCTTTTAGTTCGGGCGCCACTGTAGAGATATTAGGTTAATTGGAAAAGCCGGAGAGATGAAAAATTAACAACGCCTTCGCGGGGAATCGAACCACGGACCTCTGAAATACCGGCCCTGCGTGCAGAACCGCTACAGTACGAAGGGACGCTAGGAAGGCGGGAGAAATACCTTATAAAAGGACAGTTGCAAAATCGTTAAAATGTTCAGAGCTACCTGTAAATAAGGGACTTAATGCTGAATTGAATCTTAAAAGGGTTAAAAAACATAATGTGCATCGTCTCTGCGCGACATGTCGTCAAACGCAGAAGGCGCTGCAGAATTCTTTATAAGAAATATTTATCCGGACAAAAATGGAAAAATGTTATCACAGTGGAAGAAACTTGGATGATTGCACTAAAAATAGGTTCATTTATTATCATCAAAGGGGAGAAAAGTCTTAAAATATGGTTCAAAGAATCTAAAAAAGGTTTTCAGAGGGATTTATGATTGTATCTGGTTTTTCATATAACAGTAAATTAAAAATAAAGAGAATGCAGAAAACAATAAGATCAGCTCCACATATTATCGAGAACATATTTTATACCCAGTTTTCAAATATGAAATACCTTCTGTTTACACACAGTGCCATCAATCAGTTAAAATGAACCAAGACAAAGCAAACAGCGACATTTCGAAATAATCCATCCTGGAAAAAATGCAACAAGAAACGTGTATCAAAGCTTTACTCTTCACTCATATATCTTCTGAGGTATCACCCATAGAATTTTACTCTAAAAAGTGGATATGTCGACCTACAAGCCTCCTTCGATTTCAAAGCTGTTGACGAGGGATGGGATAAAATACCTCTTCAGATACAGCAAAAGGCTTTATTGTCTTGGATATTATAGTGTAGAAAGATAATGAAAAATAAGAGTTATCAAATAAAACATTTAAAACACAAAAACGTTAGGTAAAATATTTCTGTAAATACAATGAAATTCGTCTAGAAAGTGTACGAACAGTATGTGTAACTTATCAAGAAAGCAACTTTGAAAATGACAGAAGTGTTAAACTGAGTAATTGTAGCTTCAAGTTTTCATTGGGCACGTTTAAAGAATGCTATAAAAATTCTGCTTGTGAATTTTCCTCTAGCTAACTGTTATGATCAGTAACAAACAGTGCATGGACAGAAGAGTTATGGCAATTGATGCGGTATTTGGAAGTGACTGAGAATAATGCAAAAGTGCCTTCTGTGAAAACATGAATAGGTAGTAAACGTCAACCATTACTGTGAATAGCTAAAATCAAATATTTAGATAAAATCTCTACGTTTATCTACAAAATAAGTGTTTCAGAATTTACTTCGCAATTTTTTATATAGATATTTTGAGTTTTTATATATTTTTGCCTTGTGGGAAAGTGAGAACTAATTAATTGAATGAGAAATACTGAATCGTCTGTGAAGAACTGCTTCTTTTTTTGCTGTCGTTGTTCTTTGCTTAATTTCTTTTATACATCGTTTTAGATTTATTATAGTATTTAAATAGAACATGTGGCAACGATTAGAGAATTCTTCAAATGATATCAATTTATCTGCATTCTGATTTATAATATGGACGAAATGTAACGCTGTCGCCAGAGTGTCGCTGTGGTAAACAAATATAGTGAATTTTAAACAGTGCATTTATTCTGTTATGGTTTATGCGATATCGACGAAGTAGATTTAATTCAATCCGATAAGTTTAAATGAAATGCAAGAAAAAATGAGTGTAATTTAATATTTCGTACAAGGAAGTCATGTGGTGCACACATCATATTTTTTTAAATATGTATAATGCTATTTTCAGTTACGTAGAAAGAATAAATGAACAGAATAGGCTCCTATTTACTTCCCTTTGAATTTCAGATGATGATATAATTTTACAGGAATTTCATCAAAATGGATACTTTATGTCTTAACATTCTGTTCTAAGTTCATGGTGAAAGCAGAAAATGTTTTTTGAAAATTTTTCGTATTTAATGCGACGTTTTTAATTAGCCCATTTTATCTAGAGATCATTAATTTGTATTTATTAGTATAATATCATTAATTAGTATTTATTAGTATAATGCACAAATACTATATAAAACTATTGATTAATTTTAGACCAAAGGAGGTAATTAGTATTAATTTTTTTACTGTTCACTTTTTTAAAAATTTTAAGAAAAATATGAAAAAGTTTCAGCGATTTGTTAATTTTTCTAATAAAACTAAAAAAATATTGAAAACTGTTTGAATGGCAATTATTTAATTGTATACCATTGTAGATTAAGAAGCTAAAATGTTATCTACGTATAAAATAATTCAAATTAGACATACATACTCGGGTTCTGATTCTACAGACAAGACTTGAAGTGGTACTGGAGGATCAAGTCTCCTTATTTCTGGCAGAGAGGTCGGTTTAGGAACTCGTTCGGTCTTTGAACTAAAGGAAATAAAATGAACATTAACAAATGTTTACTTTTCTTGTAAAATTTAGCTCTAAAATTAGAATTTTACTCCTTTTAATTTCCTATTCTTAAGCCTGTAACATTCTTTCATGACGGGGCATTAATAATAGTACGGAACGTTTAGTAATTTCAAAATTCGCTCACTCATAATTCTTGCAATTTCAAAATTCTCTCACTTTTAGAAGAGCAGAATATTCAATATCAACACTGCAAGATAAATTAAAATTCTTCTTCAGTTTATCAGTAAATGAAATAATATAATGTGTTTGTTATAAATTTAAAATCATAGCTTCATTGCTGAAATCATTTAAAAAACAATTTATCTATATCAAATATTGTTGCCCTACGTTTTGATTTGATTAAAGTAAACAACAACTAAAACAACATAAAAAAACCTAAAGTGCAAAATTATTACTGAAGACTAAAAAATTATTGTATAAAATAAGCTAAAAATTATTGCATACAATTTCGAATAATCTCTGGTTAAGTAAACTTTTTCTGCTGTATTTCTTGAGCAAACAAAGCACATGATGCAACCCGAACACATATACATAAATGTGGATAATAGTAATTTATCATATCATCTTAATAAAAATTGGTTATAGAAAAGTAGATTAGAAATCAAAGTAATATTTAACGTCGGAAAAAGTGTGTCGAGAAATGTCCATAACAGAGCTTAAACTGCGGCAGTAACCGGTTTCAGTATTTCTTAACTCAGATAAACCGTAATTCTAGTCGGAGTGCCCTATAGAACGCTCTAGTCCTTCTCTCATGTAAATGAACCACAATTTCAGCAGAAACTTTCTTTCATCTTTTTATTGAGCAATAAAATGACATTTAAAATCAATTCTAACTTCTGAACTGATACCTTTCTTTCCCTGGGAAACAAACCCTTTGACGGAAGTTGAGACTTTTAAGGAAAAAAAAGTCTCCTCCCCATGTCAAATTTCAGAAAACCATGTTATACTCCAGGAAATGCAATGAATTTTTCAAAGCGGATAGCATTTTCATTCTAAAGCTAGTACCTTCTCGCAAAAATCGAGCAGCTGCAGAATTTTGGAACAGTGGAACCGAATACGGAGGAAGAATATTGTCGCTTGTTACTTTGTTCTCAATGAATTCATGGATTCGGGGAATTTTTTTCTCCCTATCACATACTGTTTGAGAGCTGGAATTACATTGGCAAGGGATAGGAATTATAAAGTTTTGGACACTTTGTCCACTTTGTTTTCCCATACGTCTCCTTTAAAACATGCATACGTCATACCCATACGTCTCCTTTAAAATTTCCTTCCGTACTCTCATATAGTTTCTAGCATTCGCCACATTCTCATCGGCGATGCTTTAATTGTTTTACGCATTTTCACTGATAGATATGTTAATTACAGACATTGTCTCGGAAAAGTTACATGAAGTGAACCAATTACATGGATCGGTTAGAAAATAGACCAATTACATGGACAAATAGCAGCTGCATATGGGCGGACATACTGATCAAGGATCTCGTCTCGATATCTCACCTCACACAGGTCAAAGCTCCTTCTTGGAACACATGCAGGCCAGTGTGACTACCGAGAGAGATAGTAGCCCACACTATTATTCGACCACCTCTGCAACTGTGTCTTTCCACAATCTGGGATTGGTTGTAACTGGAGCGTTGTTCCCTCCGGATCAGCTGACAACCTGAATCCCTCTCCAGTGTGATCCTGGACTGATCTGTGAATAAAACAGACGCCCATTGTTGACCGGTCCAGGAGAAGAGGTCTCTTACCCAACATGAACGGACAAGGGGACACAAACACTTGGTCGTCTTACATACAGTCCTGTATTGCGCAGGCATCTGCTCACTGTAGTAGCCGAGATTCTTGTTCCTTTTGCTACTAAATGATCTGCCATGTGCTGTTTCACAATAATGTTGCTCCTCCTTCCGAGGAAAGAGCTACATAGCGGTCTCCCGCATGTGTTGCAACTCTTGGTCTGCCTGGAACATATATTATAGACGCAGAGTCCTTGGATTCAAACCGATTCCATAGTCGGTGGACCACGCTACGAGAGACATTGAGACGCCTAACAGCACTAGGTTATGATATTCCCATTTGCATCCTTAAATGATTTCGCTCGCCAATTACCCGTCACCTCAATTGAAACGGGCAGATGATTTCTCCTGGAAATTGATAGACTCTCCTGAATATTGTCACCGAAACTGCAAGTAACAACTGAAGATCAACACTCGTGAACAAAACTTATACGCTATATTGATTTATACGCTATACTTATACGTTATATTGATACGAATTTTACGCTATATTGATTCATTTCTATAAAATAAAGTGGTAGAGTGAATTTCTATAAATAAAGTTTTTGCAAATATATTCTAAATTTCGTTACTACCATGTATATAAACTGTGAATTTTAATGTTACTAACACTTTTGTAATGGTGAATTTTAAAAAACTTGCTGTTCCTTAAATTTTAGAAAGCAGTGTATATACCATTTTTATACGCTCGATGGAAGGAATACATACAAATTTAAGGACAACTTGCATATTATGATGAATGTAAAGTGTTATATAAATCCGTTTAATAATGAAAATTAATGTTTCTCAGTAAATACTATTTTTAGACAAATCAAATCTTTTCTAAACGCGGATTCTGAAGGAAATGGTTCAGAATTTAAAATCACGTTTTTAATGTCATATCCATACATTAATTGACTAAATAATTAATATTTCAAGAAAAAAGTTTTATTAATGATTCTTTATTAACGGAAATTGTATAAAGATTGAAAAGATAGTTTTCTAATATCCGGAAAATTTCATATCAAAATTAGCATTATATACCTCTTACTTCTTAGCTAAATCTGGTTCGAGATTCAAGAGTGGTTAATGTTAATGTACAATTCATTTTAACAAAACATCTTTACTATTAAATAGGAGTTTGCTTATAAATGTTTCATACTTACATCATGGGAGACTTTAATCCACCTTTTTTCCTGATCATAAGTATTGCGATAACAATAAGGATAACACATAACCCAGACAGTCCTACTGCTAAACCCCAAATTAATGCAGAAGTATTATCTATAAATAATAAATTAATCATATATTAACAAATACACTTGTGCACGCAAATTCTAAATTATTAAACAGAGATATCAGAATATAATTATCTGTACCCTTCTGGGTACAGATAATTATATTCTGATATCTCTGTTTAATAATTTATTCTGATAACAGCTAAAAAATCCAGCTGTTATCACAGAAGATATGGTTCAGATAATGGTTGGTCTCTTTTCTCAATCACTTCCAGTTTGGGTGCACTTCTTTAAACTAGCGGTATGTGGATCGTAATACTTGCAAAAATCGTCATTTTTTAACTCTTAAACAATAACTTGGACTAATCTATTCACGTAGAGCCCTCATAATAATTTTCGAGGTATTAGAGCAGGTAGAGCAGGAATTTGAAACTAAATCAGAAGAATCTGGAGCAAAATAGATTTATTCCTGAATCTCCAGTAGTTACGAATATCTTAGTCTTGAGGGTTACAAATAAATGCTCCAACTTCTCGAAAACATTATCTGAGGTAGCGGTAGTCAGGAAGTTTACTGAGACGTATTCATACCTTAAAATTATACTAGAGAAGCGATGTCAATTACGACGCTATTTGCTGTCATCCAGTCACGCATGAAAATCTCTTATAATGAGTTGTAGGACAGTAGCAATGGCATCAAATATCGCGAATTTTACGCAAAATTTTCGTGGTACAAATTATCAACAAACTTGGTTTAAGAAGTAAACATTTTACGATTGCCTTGCTTGTTAAACCTAACTAAACCTTGTTAAACCTGAATGCTTGCTTGTTTAACATGTCTAAGTTAGTTTAACATTTGCTGATGGTAGATTTACTTTTAGTGTAGTACTGATTTAATTGAATATAAATTTTGTGTCCTTAGAGATCCATGAATTATTTTTTGGCTAAATCCATGAAACACAACTCCAAAGATTGAAAGGCTACGTGATGTTTTTATAGTTTTCTTTTTGTGCAACGTAGTATATACGTGAGAGCTTTTTAGAAACTCTTTCAGAAAAGCATTTACGCTTAGGTAGACAAATCTAAGGTAGATTCTTAATACTTAACAATCTAACCATCAGTAACTTGCTAACGTCATCTTCTCATCATAAAAACCAAACGCGGATATTTCCCTCTTCCTCCCATTTACCTTTAGCTTGAAATTATTTTCACATGTTTAATAACGTTTTCTTAATTAAAATTGGAAAGGATTTGAGCAACGATTAGAATTAATTCTGCAACAACTTCAGTGAGCCGGAAACAATCTAGGAAAACATACCTTTTTTAGCAGTCTGGACATATAAAATACTTGTCCACTGTCCTCTTCCAGCCACAGACTGTGCACATACTTGAAGAGAGTAGTTCGTAAAGTCTTTTAATCCCTCAATTTTGAACGAAGTCCCGTTCGTTTCCTCCGACCCTAGCTGGACGTTGCCATCTTTCCAGCGCACGATATACAATAGAGTTGGCCCATTAGGATGCTCAGGTATAACCCATTGTAGTAGAATACTAGAATGCGTTACTTTAGCCCTTAGATCACGTGGTTGACTTGGAGCTGAAATATGAGGGGTAAAAAATAAATAAATATAAATAAATTTTGTGTACATATATTAGCTGTAGAATTTTAACGCTACTACTATATCAATGCTATTATAGAAGTATGATTTTATGGTATTATTATTATATTGCTGTAGTTACCATATGTATTTGAAAAATTAAAATACATTGCTTTTAAAATCATAAGAATTAAAACTGAGGATACATTTAATGGAAAAATGAAAAGCATAATCCTTTTTCGACTCGTATGCCTTCAGTGAATAACCCTCACGAAACGTTTAACAGAATATTCCGCTTGGACATGCAATTCTTTTATGGCACATTTTCCATAAGCTATTGTTCTCCTATTTTTCTTTTGTTACAAATAATTGCTTTTAATTTTGGCAAAGAAATACTCAGTTTTCTCGACAATTCGATTTTTGTCAACCTTGTACTGTTGTAAATTAGTTTTTATATTTTAGTTTTATCTTTGAAAACACCTTTCGTTTTCTAGATATTTTAGCAACAATTTAAAATTTGAAAAAGAGTTTAAAAGACAAATAAAACTTGACTTGAAAACGTCTTCACCAAATGATAAAGGAAGGATCAATCTACCATCGGCAAACCTCTATGATCAACAAAGTGCCCATTTTCCATTTTATACTTCCATGCGACCTCTTCCATACACCAACTGGACACCAACCACTGTGCCAGTATGAGATATCTCATGCTTTCATTTTCCTCCGCTCGTACCTGCATGTGCAACTTCCAGATGCTACCGAAAGAAAAACAAAATGGTATAGGATACATTTAATTGAGCTACGAAGCACCGCTGAACAAGTCAGGATAAAACCGACATGTAACCATACTTATGTATAGTATAACTAGAATATTACTGGTATGAAAAAGAAATGAATTTTGAGTGGTGAATTGAACAACTTATTGCTGAAAAACATGTAAACAATGCTTCAGTGTATTACATTCTAAAAACGCGACTAAGGCTGAAATATCTTGAGAACACTATTTAAGGAGCTAATTAAATTATTTAATTTTAAATTTTCTTTAATTTAATAATTAAATTAATAATTAAAATTTCTTTTAATTTAATAATTAAATTTCTTTTTAATAATTAAATTATTTAATTTTAAGTTTTCGAATGTTGATTTTTTTTTAAATTTAAAAACTGAGAGGAGTTGTGTTAAAAATATTTTTCTCTTTACCTCTCTCCCCCTATGTACACAGGTAAGAAAGGTAATGTTTTTGGTTCATAAATTCGATTATGAATTTCCCTTGAATAAGCACATATTGGGGGTATCCACAGCCTGTTTTTACTCTTTTTAGAATGATGTCTGTTTGTAGGTGTGACGATATTTTTGTCCACGATAAACTGTTACATGAAACTTTCGAAAGCTTCCATATTTAAGCCTTCTAAATGCACATAGAAAGTTGATTAGATTTTGGGTAAATTTGAGCAAACGGATGTGGTATTTTACTTGAAGTTCATAAAGGCTTGTTTACTTTAGCGGAACTTTGATTCCAAGAACTCACCGACTCTGCTAAAGAGAAAAAAAAAGTTATCATCAACCTATATATACTACATAGATAAGGGAGGTAGTGCTTTTCTTCCAAAAATTCGATAGTTAATTTTTGGTGAATAAACATTAATTGCACCCACAACCCGTTTTTAATATTTTTACAATGATGTCTGCCTTTCTGTTTGTCTGTATGTATGTCACGAATTTTTTTTCTGTGGTAATGAAATCTTATACGAAAATTCTAAAAATTTCTGTTACCCGTACTTAATTCATAAAAGGAATTGACTGGATTTTCGGTAAAATTGGGAAAATTGGAAGTAGTACTTTACACGAAACCCATAACAGTATTTAATGGACAACCGAGAGTTGTACTTTACTTCAAGTCTATACCAGTTTCTAATGAGAATGTAAAGACTTCTTTTTTTTTTTTTTTTTTTTTTTTTTTTTTAAAAGCAGGCAAGATGAAAAATTAACAACCGCCTTCACCGGAAATCGAACCACGGACCTCTGGAATACCGGCCCAGCGTGCAGAACCACTATACCACAAAGGCACGCCAAGAAGGTGGAGAAATACCTTAAAAGAGTTATACTAAAATATAATTCAAAACTCTGAATTTAGTCTATAAGACTTTTATATCAATGGTGACAAAATGCTAGATTTGGCTAAACTGGATAAAACGGAAGTGATATTGTACTTGAAGCTCTGAACGGACTTTTGTAAAAAATATATTGTGGGATAATTAAAAAATTTCTCAAATTTGGTACTTAAAATAAGTATGTAATTGATAAAAACACAGCATATTTATAAGGACTAACTACACTCTTGGAAGCATTCTAAATACAACGAAAATAAGCTCATCATGAAGACGAGCTCTCTTTATGAAGCAACTAAATGCATTAGCTTCAATCCTCAATTTTTATTTCGTTTTACTTTTGTGTAGAATCACCTTTCAAATAAAAAACATTGTGTAAAATACATTAATGCATAATATGATACCGATATAACTGAGAGTGAAATCCTGAAACTCGTTCAACTAATCGAATGGAATGAGCTAATTGAATTCAATTGTGTAATTGACCTCGCTTGCGTCCGATAACACAGATCCCAATGCTTTATTGCAGAATTAGTATCTTCATCGTGGCAAAATTCATATCTCTCGTAATAAACAAAATCTGGTGCAGACAGCATATGAATTCCTTGTACGAAACATTAAATTGTTCGCATTTTTTGCTGCATTTCATTTAAACTTATTTCCTCGAATTTCATTAGAGAGAGATTTCTGATACAATTAATTCAGTTCTGACTTCGCGGTAAGGCAAAAATGCAAAAAACCTCGAAATTTTTTCATTACAAATTTAAAAATATAGAAAAAAAAATAATACCGCAAATACAGTTAAAACAACCCAAAAAACAATTTTTACAATTAAAATTAGAGTTTTTAAGAAAAAACAAGCAATTCGGCCAGCGAGCAGCAAGGGAAATTTTTTGGTGCACAAAACTGAAAGTTTACTTTCTGTCCCACTCGGTGGAAAAAAAAGCACTGAAGATGCAGAAAATGACTTAATTCACTATTCTGCTAATTTTAAAATGTAAACAAATATGGCTGCTATGGTAAACAAAAATTAGGCATAGCCGCCCTTAAACAACTTTTAAATCGTTAACAATTCTACAAATATTGCATGCATATTAAGTAAAATCATAAAAAAATCTTAACCGGAAGATAAGATTAACATGATTTAATCATTTTTAAACCAAAAAATGCACAATTTACCAAAATGTAAGATTAAAAAAGTGAGCTCCGCGAGCTGACTAACAGAGTGGGTACGTATTAGCTTTACATTTTCTTTTTCAATCATATATACGTACTTATATACGTCACGAAAAAAACCTCTTCTGAATACATTTTAAACCAATTTTATAATTTGGGGGAAGAGAATTCTTTATTCTGTCCTTTCGTACAGATGTGATGCAAAACCATTGTTAAATTGTATTCGATAGCGGTCAAAATAAATATTTTCGTTGAAATATGATACCTGGAATGTTTGGTGATTACAATAACTCCTTTACTTCGTAAAGTAAGTAAAAAACTGAAAAAGAAAGAAAATGTTGACGAAGAATGTTAACAGATTCCTCCCATTACTCCTTCATCGAAACTTTGCTATCTAACAAGTATAATTCGCTAAATTAGAACCGAAAAAATTCGCAAGCGGAAGCACTGCGATTGTCATCTCTGACTTCTGCCTGGATTACGAAAACTGAAATGTACCATGTAGTCTACAAGCAGTCTCTACCATGTAGTCTACAAGAGTATTGGAGATCAAGGAGATTCAATGCGAGTCCGACTCTCAAATTCTTAATAATAGAGAAACAAAAATGGTCGAACTCTGGTCCTCCGCCGCACTGCCCATCCTTTGAAGCCTAATCAGAAACCTTATTCATGAGTATTTCTCCACATAGCAGAGACTTCCGGAGCTCAAAAGACTCAACAAGCTCTCAATAAAGGACTCACGAGCATAACAGAAGACCTGTGGTGGAAGGAGACTCTATTACTAGGATGTGCACTTTGCTGCTTGAGAAATGACTCATCTCTTCGATATTTTGGGCAATAGTTGATTTCAGAAAGATGGATAATGTCCAATACTGGTCGCAACTCCTCGGAAATTCTAATACCGTTGTTTGGATGCAAATAATTTCTCTAGTCAGTGAGTGACAAGCCATAGCCACCAAAATCACTGACTTAAATTTTGTGGGGTTTTTTTTTCGTGTGTGTCAGTTTGAGAATAATGTGCCCTATGTTCCTTCTGCTACAATTAAAGAAATGAAAGAATCCCTCAGGAAACCGCTCGTATTCTCTGGACATAAAATAAGGCGTCCTTTTATCATCGCAAGAAAGTTTGCGCAGGAATGACGGTTTTTATTAGACGTCATCTTCAAATATTAACCATTCCAGCGGTAGTTACATATTGTTACGTTTTATTTTCTTCACAGCTTCGTGCAGATTTGGAGTGAATAACAACGACACGAAGTATCGAAACACACTTTAGTTAGCCAATATTAATCAGGACAGCTCCGAAGTCATGTTTTACAGTCGTCGAAGATCTACTATACACTCGCTGGAACAATCAGCGACACAGCCTTCAGGTTATCAGGCTATCACGGTGGACAGCTTCACTGCAAAGCACCAGAGTACAGCTCCCGACTCTGCTCGGTTGTTCTCGGAACTCCACGTACTCTCGAGACTCTCCAAGCTACAACTCGCAATGTACTCGACGACACACAGAGCACAGCTCCCGACTCTTCGGTTCAGTCGTTCCCGAAGCTCAACACACTCTCTCTCGATGATGCACTAACCGCGATACACTAAGAGACTCTTTCGATGCACTCGACGACCCACTCGGCACTCGCTGGCCGGCTGTCAACTCGATCGACTCCGCACGGACTAACTCGAGACACTAACTATCTCGTACTCACTCTCCGTGTACCAGCAGGGTTTATAGAGTTTTGGGCTTGTGTTCGAGAACATTCTGGGCTAAACCGGCTGGATAAGCCGGTAAAAATTCGTTCCAGAAAAGTTCTGCATCCGTCCATGGCATATCGCCGATTTTGTCGCCAAATGGGCGATTTCTCGCCAGATGTGACAACCCTGCCTTCTTTTTCTATTTATGGCAACCTACCGTACCTGTACATTTCGTAACAATATGTAACGGCATCCTCTGTTCTAATTTTTGTTATGATTAAACCTCCTTCAACTATTCATTCTCTTCTCGAGATCTCTATTTCAAAATTAATGTCTCAAGTTATTTAGGAAATTCGTTAAATATTCAATCTCCCTTTTGCAATTTCCTCTTTAAACTAATTTATGTGTAAGCAAAAGATAAAAAGTTCTCACTTGATTCTTTTGTTCTTTCTACTAACTCAGCTGCTGGACCCGAACCAGCGTCAGTTCTAGCTGTGACTTCAAAGAAGTACTTTGTATAAGGGCGCAGTCCTACAGCGTTATATCTTGTGTCGTTAGTTGAGATTCTAGATATTCCTTGGATACCTTGTATGCCCCAAGATACTGAATATTCTATCACGGGACCAGGAACCGGAACTGGAGCTGACCAAATGAGAGTAAGGTTTGTAGCTGTTACCTCCACGGGATGTAAATCTGCAGGAACATTCGGTACTGAAAGAGAACAATTAGATTAGTTCCTGAGCGGTTTGGTGAAATATCTTAAAAGTTACAGAATAATTTCTTAAAACTACTTCTAATTAGTAATATAAATTTATTGAGTTAGAATTTTTTAGGTTGTAAGATGCAATTGTTAATTTGATCTCGAGAATAAGTTGTAAATAATTTCAAACGATATTAAGGAATTATATAAAATACTTACAACATCATGTTTTCTGATTTTGAAACAAAGTCATTATCGGTTTTAATTCTTTTTGTGAAATAAGTAATAAAGTACAATAAACTTTTACTCCTTTTCATGTTTCATGATAAAATTTTGCTCGTGTAATAATATTGTTACAAATTTGGTATTTAAAAAGCTAATGTTAGTTCAATTACAAATTAAATGGTTTTATTTCTCGCGCAGTGCAGCGCGTGACGAATATTAAAAGAAAGCTAAGCCGGAAAATTGAAAATACAAGAGCGCGTGCATTAAATAAATAAATATCTCTTTTTGATTTCGAGAAAGTACTGGAAAATTCTAGCGCGTGATTTTAAAATCTTATAAAAGGAGGAAAACATCTCAGTTTGTTAGTTTTAACTTCGCTATTAAGAAACTACAAGCCTTCATTCCAAGTATAGAGTCATGGTACGCGAATTGGAAAGTGAAGATTAATGCTCAAAAATCTCAATTATTGATCATTCGCAGAAGGAAAAGAAATAAGCAACTGAAGAATCACCTTCTCCTCTTTAATGAAAGAGTTCCTATAGTGAAAAGTGCCAAATATCTCGGAGTCACTCTTAATGATCGTCTTACTTGGACTGACCATATCAACAATGTTCGAACCACTGCACTACAAAATTATCAAGTGTTTGCTTCCTATACTCGGTGAATACTTCTAAAATGGATTTGGAGAAGAAAAGACTTGTTTATCCTCTTCCACAATTAGACCTATTTTGACTTATGCCATCTCCTGCCTGGGCGGCCAGCCAAAGACTCAGATGTGAAAAAAACTTCCAAATCGTTCAAAATAAACTCCTGCGTATTATCCACGAACGCACACTATTATGTCCGCAACAAGACCCTCCATGAAGGACCTCAAAATTGATACCATCGCGGTACATCTGCGGAAACTTAACGATAAATTCTTCAAAAATGCGCAGAAGTGTAACTTCATGAATCATTTCAACATGTTTCATTATGAAGTTCTCACCGATGTATCGATTTCTTCGACCTTTCGCAGCTTACATACTTCAGTGGAAACGAAAATTTCCCCACCTAATACCAAGTTAGTGGAAATTTTGATCTGCACATAGTGATTTTACTCTTATTTTCCTTTACTTACTCCAGAATATTGCTTTTCTTCAATATTCAAGAAGCACTTTTAAAAGTCAGCGCCTGGGAGAGTGACCTCCACGTGACCTAAGAACTTGAGTTCTATGTTCAGCCTTGTTGTAGGACTTTCTGCATTTTTAGGACTGAAATTTCTGGTATTCCTTATATTATCATATTGAAGAACATGAGAAAAATAATGATTTTCGCTATTGCAACCCATTATTTAATTATTTTACTCTTTTCATCAGTTTTGGACAAGTTTACGCTAAGCGAATCAGAATGCCTGATTCCGCTCACGTGATATGTGACTTATTCTAAGTATACTCTGGGATAAAACATTTGAATTTGTAATATATGTATTTTGTGTTAACATTTGTTCTGCATTTATTTTGTTATTTTGTAACTCTTACTAAAATTATTGCTTTCCTGAAACATCTTCGACTGTTATAATGAAACCATGATTCTGTTAACACCACCCCCATCACGTTATCATGGACTCAGAATTTCAACTTACAGGACTGCTAGACTGTATTATGTGATGAAATTTGGTTTATTCCATATGTTGTTACTCTGATGATTACTAGAAAAATTTCCCTTTTATGTAATTATTTCTGAAAATTTGTACATTTAAGGTTTTCTTCAGCATTTCTAACCTGAAATCTCGCAACGTATTAACGACTTCTTCACACCTCACGTGACAAGGTAGTCAGTCACGCCCTCTCAACATCTGCAATCCTGACTTAGGTCTCACTCATGTATTCTCCTACTTTCAGCGCTCTATAGCAACTAACTCAGACAGCCGGAACAAAACTTGCAAATCCTGCAAGTTAATCAGCGGCGCATCCAGCGGTACTTGGAACGTGAAAGTTTGTTAGTTGTTGCTTAGTTTGTTATTGTTTAGAAAACTGCCGTTGTTGATTATAGCGAATTCGCGGATTAGCGTTCTTTAGCTGTTTTGAATTACGTTCTATTGTACATTTAAGTAGTTAAAAGATAACTACTGTGAGATATTGTAATACTGCATGATAATTTGAGAAAATTTAAGCATTTTTGTTGTGATAATAATAAATTTTTGTTCAATTTTCATCGGACTTGTGCATTCATTTCATAACGAACCCGTACGTACGCAACAATTTTTGGTGTCAGGAGTGGGGTTTGAATGCCAATAACAAGAGCGATGGAAGAGCAATTAAGGCATTTAATATCAGCCTTTGCCTCATTTAAAGAAGAAATGAAATTGGGCCAGGAATCCGTTAAGGAAGAAATGAAATTGGGCCAGGAATCCGTTAAGGACGAAATGAAAGCCGTTCAAGCTGGTCAAGAAGAAATGAAAAGAGAAATTACCTGCATAATAGAAAATAAATTTGAAGCTATGGAAGGCAGAATTGACACAGTTGAAAATAAAGTTGGACAAATTGAAGAAAAAGTTTCTGTAAAAGATCAAATTGAAGAAAGAGTTTCTTTCGGTGAAAGAAGAAATAGAAGAAAGAGTTTCTTCTGTAAAAGAACATATAGAAGGAAGAGTTTGTGCCGTCCAACACCAAATCGAACAACAAATTGATGATAGGGTTTCTGCAGTAGCCAAAGAAGTGGATATTTTAAAGAAATTCGTAGCGACGGCAGGGAACAATAGTGATGGTTTTAATTTTTTACCCATGCCTGCTCGTCCCTCTCTGAAGTTATCCACTTATGATGGGAAGACCTCCTGGCAAGTGTATAAAACACAATTTTCTATAGTGGCGGATGCGAATGGATGGGATTCCCAAACTAAGGCCTGTCATCTCGCCGCTTCGCTGAGAGCAGACGCAGCGGATATCCTGCAGACGCTTCCTGAAAACCAAGGACTTGACTTCGAAGCTTTATCCGGCGCATTGGAACTGCGCTTTGGCGAGAAATGTTTAAAAGACTACAGCAGGCTTCAATTAAAATCCCGTCAACAGAAGCCCACCGAATCACTTCAGGAGTTCGCCACGGATGTTGAAAGGCTGTCCCATCTCGCCTTTTCAGAATGCCCGACAGAAACAAGGGCAATCTTGTCCTTGCAATACTTTATCGATGGCATCCGGGATCCTGAAATACAGAAAGCTCTTCGAATGTAAAGGATGTAAAAAGCGCTCTGTTGTACGCCGTGAAATTGGAGGCAGCCCAGCAAGCAACTCTTAGAGTTCGCTACCCAGTCAGAGCTGTGCGAGTCCACGACCCAGGGGATCCAATTGATGGCTTCGTTTAGATGATTTAGTCCAGACAGTCGAATGCTTGATACGGAGTAGCAGTGGAGAACAAAGTGGCTGTAAGATGTTGGAGAATGTGGTATCTGAAGGTCACCTACGACGGCATTGCAGAACACCCCAGGGCACGGATAATGAAACGGATGAATGCCTTGAAAAGACCAGGTGAATGCTGTTAAGACGTAATAGTGGTGAAACAAAACCGACCCTAAAGTGCTGTAACTGCGGTGTTGAGTGTTGAAGGCCACCTACGAAGGAACTGCAGAACTCCCCAGAGCACCGAAAATAAGAGCAGGCGGGTTAAACAGGACAATTAAATGCCACGAGAAGGAAAAGGACTTGACAAGAAACCAAAGTGCTGGAACTGTGGATCTGAAGGCCACGTACGAAAGAATTGCAGAACACCCCAGGGTACGAAAAATTGAGACAATTTCTGAGCAACGACGCAGGAAACAAATTAATGACCATATCAAGGAACGGAGGTTGCCAGATAATGAAAAAACCCTGTTTTAAAGCGCTTAAGATCTCTATAGTGAGTGGCAACAATAACGGACTGTCCATCAATGGGAATATCGATGGAGTTCCTTGCAATATGATCATTGACACAGGAGCTAATGTTACCATCATTAGGAAAGATTTAGCTGAACAGTTTAAAGATAAACTTATTTGGACGCCATCCTGTGTTACCCTTCAGACTGCGTCTGGTGACAAGATCGACATAACTGGGAAGTTGAATGTAAACATCACGTTTGGGAGTGCCGCCTACCATCACACGGCATATGTGGCGGGTATTACAGATCCATGCATACTCGGATTGGACTTTTAAGGAAATACAATTTTTCCTTAGATTTCAAAAACAATAAGCTGCTTTCAGCATCTGATGGCATGACTATCCATCCTCAAAAGGGATCCTCGCCTGGAAATGTCGACGCCTTGTCCGAAAGATCGAGCTCGGGAAGCTGCCGAAATCATACCAGGGTCGAAAAGAAACTCAAGACTACCAGCTATTCTCCATCCCAGAAGCTCTTCGGTCGAGGAGGAAAATATCTCAGTTTGTTAGTTGTTGCTTAGTTTGTTATTGTTTAGAAAACTGCCGTTGTTGATTATAGCGAATTCGCGGATTAGCGTTCTTTAGCTGTTTTGAATTACTTTCTATTGTACATTTAAGTAGTTAAAAGATAACTACTGTGAGATATTGTAATACTGCATGATAATTTGAGAAAATTTAAGCATTTTTGTTGTGTTAATAATAAATTTTTGTTGAATTTTCATCGGACTTGTGCATTCATTTCATAACGAACCCGTACGCACGCAACAATATTAACAGTAGTAAAAATTCTAATTATGTTTTCTTATCTTTTCTCTTAATAGAATGACAACGGAGTTTCAGGGATCATTTGGGGCATTGCAGTTCTGCTCTAAGAATATGCAACTCAAAGATCTACAAACTT